TGTTAAACACGATCACGCAGGCTAGGGCGGCTTCTACTAGAAGGCTCTATGCGTCTAAATGGTCTGTGTTCTCTAAATGGTGCACCGACAGAAATTTGGACCCACGGTCATGCGAGGTCCCTTCCTTGCTAGTTTTTCTCCAAGAGATGTTGGACAAGGGCAGGTCCCCGTCCACTCTCAAGGTGTATGTGGCAGCCGTCGCAGCATTCGTTGAACCCCGGCGCGGCCAGTCACTGGGCAAAGAGGGCTTGGTCATCCGCTTCCTCAGGGGAGCTAGAAGGATGAACCCCCCGCGCCCCCCTTCGGTGCCGATTTGGGACCTTTCCATAGTTCTCGAAGCTATGAAAGCCCCCCCATTCGAACCGCTAAACACCGTGGACCTCAAATACCTTTCGCTCAAAACCGTTTTTCTGCTCGCGCTCGCGTCAGTAAAACGTGTGGGAGACCTTCACGCGCTGTCCAGTAGCGCTTCCTGTCTCGAGTTTGGGCCCAATGACTCCTTAGTCGTTCTCAAACCTAGACATGGTTATGTCCCAAAAGCGATTGGTACCCCGTTCAGGGCACAAGTTATTTCCCTATCGGCTCTGCCTGCTTCCGATAGCGAACCCGACTCTAATCTCCTGTGTCCGGTCAGGGCCCTGAGATTATACATTACTCGCACTGCTCCGGTCAGACGATCTGAGCAGCTTTTTGTTTCGTTCGGTCGGCGCACCAAGGGGTTGGCCGCCTCGAAACAGACTCTATCCAGATGGATAGTTGATGCCATTGCAGCCGCATACGCATCAAAAGACCTGCCATGCCCTCTGGGCATCAGGGCTCATTCCACTAGAGGCATGGCCTCATCGTGGGCATGGTCCAGCGGAATTTCCATTCATGACATTTGTGTGGCAGCGGGATGGGCTTCCCCCTCCACCTTTGTCAGATTTTACAATCTGGAAGTTCCCGCCTTGCAGGCTAAACTACTAGCAGTCTAGTAGGTTACAGCTCTTCTGGTTGAGCTGCACTATAGTGAATTATTCACTCAGACCGGTTTCGCTCTGTCCCTCTCTATCATGTGCTTATGTACTACACAATCTCCGGCCCGTTCTGCTGGCCTTTGTCACAGGTACATATATTTATTCCCACTCATAAGGGTTCCCCGGGGTCTCCCCTGGGACTCATAGTGGATGCTTAGCACGCACGGCGTTGACCAGGTGTTCCCGTAGCGTAAGCTAGCTTACGCAATACGAGAGAACCTCTCGTAAGAGAACGAATCGGTTACCTAACGTAAACTCGGTTCTCTCTAGATGAGGGAACGAGTATTGCGTTCCTGGCCGTGCTTGTGCTACTAGCGTTCTCGCTTCATTCTATGAAAACCAGTGTTTACAGCCTGAGAGGCGAATTTATACTCTCTGACCACGCCCGTTTCGGCGGGCTCTGACGCAATGAGAGCATGTCAGACTCTCATTGGCCGAGAGTTCATTCACGTCTCCTCATAGGCTTAAGCAGTTCTCTGTGAGCGAACCAATGAGCTGCTAGCTAGCCCGCTCATGGTCTGCTGCAGCTGAACTGCGTTGACAATGGATACAAAATTATAGGATAATTTTTTTGGCTTCAATTTCTCAGAAAAGATTAATCTTTCCCGTAGCGTAAGCTAGCTTACGCAATACTCGTTCCCTCATCTAGAGAGAACCGAGGTTACGTTAGGTAACCGATTCGTTTTTTTACACTGCCCAAGGACGAGCATGTGAAGAATCAGTGGTTAAAATTCATCTTTACCACAATACCAGCAGTATAATCCTAAACTTTTGCTGTGTTCCCTTTATTTTACTGACGACTTCTCAAATCTCGGAGTTCAATGCAGGATTTGCATATCGCTTGCTCTTGAAAGATGGTGTTCAAAATACTTAGTTTTGAGTTTTATATTGTCTCCTGCTAACTGGTTAAATCACATTATTACTGTCTTACTGAAATGCTTCTCCTGATCAGTTGTGGGCCACTATTACCTAAAACTGTGTCTATTAATGCAGATTGTCTGTCGTTCTCACTACTTTGAGGAAAGATTAAGCATGGAGCAAGATTTGTTGCACGTTCAATATAACGCTCAATGCACGTTATTTGTCTTATTATGCTCAATTCAACAGCGTACATTATCTAAAATAATATCAAAATGTTACATCCATGGTAATATAGTGTATTTGTTATGTGATTTATTTCTTAACACAACACAGGCAGCTAAAAAGTGTTGTTAATATTATATGAAATGAAAAATAGGGTTTATTAATAATATTATATAATATAATATAATGGAATGGAATATAGGAAGAATTCTTTTTTGTAACCATCTTTCCAACAGTTCAAGATTGCTTTAATGTAGGTGAATTTAGGTAGGTCATTGTAGCTGGATGTTGGTTTTGTATATGTAGGATAGTCTTAAATGTTCATGAGGTAATCCTGAGAGGCCGCTCATTGTGTGAACTGGTCTCATTGGTGTTTGGGCTCTGAGCTCATAGTGCCCCTCTGTGCTGGTAGATAAACATGTAGGGCCCCTTTGTAGGCAAACTTCAGTGGGAACCTTCGGGAAAAAATCAAGATCAGATTTGGAAAATGGGAAATGAGGGGTAAGGAGTGGTTGGGGAGAGCTAAATGTGTGTGCATGCACAGGTCACTGACTTCACGGCTCAGTGTCTGATCTCTCGCTTGTATTCATGAATGAAAATAGCCCTGGATTGAAAGCCTGTCAGTACTTTAAAAAAAATATTATTGGTTAAATAGTTTTTCCTAAAATGATGATCCTGTAGAGTTTGTCCCCATTTAAGGTCCTACTCAGCATCCTAAAACTTTCATAATAACCAATAAATAGAAGTGTTTCATGTTCATCAAGGCTTGCATTTATTTGATCAAAAATACAGTAAAAACAGTAATAATGTGAAGTATTATTACAATGTAAAAGAACTGTTTTCTATTAAAATGTTATTTATTCCTGTGATCAAAGCTGAATTTTCAGCATTGTCTTCAGTGTCACATGATCCTTCAGAAATCATTCTAATGCTGATTTGCTGCTCAAGAAACATTTCTTATTATTATCAATGCTGAAAGCAGTTATGCTGCTTAATGGCTTTGTGGAAACTGTGAATCATCTTTTTCCAAGATTCATTGATAAAAAGAAAGTTGAAAAGAACATTATTTGTTTGAAATAGAAATCTTTCGTAACATTATAATTGTCTTTAATGTGACTTGATCAATTGATTGATATGCCCTTGCTGAATAAAATCTTATCTTTTTATCTTATCTTCTCTTGACCTCAAACTTTTGAATGGTAGTGTATAACATCAACATTTTATAGGCTCAAGAGCATCTGTCAGAAAGATTACTAGATGGAGCAGATTCAGACAGTCGTTTGGGAAATTATTATAACTCATAATACATCAACTGATTGTTTGATTCTGTGAACTTGTCAAAAACATATCCATATTTATGTTTATACATTATGTTATATATCTTGTTTATAGCCACAGAATCCACAAACAAGTCATATTATCTCTCTTTTCCATCACATGGCATTTGACCTTTATGTTGATGTTTGGTAGTGATTTTTGCCTAGCAATTTTCCATCAAACCCAAAACCCAGCTTTAAGCTATAATGCACATATGGCACACAGTTTTGAATCTTGCATTTTGTCTCAGGCCCCTCTTAATGTGTATGTCTTTTTTTCACCCTGTCTTATCTTATCATTCTTGTACATCCACTGGTATTTTATGCAATGAAAATGATTTAACGTTTTGAACTTTTTGAATGGGTTTCATTGGTTCCTCCTCTCTTCGGCTTCCTTTTTATCTCTGCTGCATGTTTCTGTACCTTAAGGTCATATGCACTCCTTTTGGTCTTAGTGGTCCCCCTCCTGCTTCTCTGGCACCCCCACCCCCTTTCATTTTTTTAAACTCCATTTTTATCTTCTATAAAGATGTGAAGGTCAGTGGAGGTACCAGATCTATTTTACTCTATTGAACACTACATTAAAGCAATGTTAAAACAAATATTGGATATTCTTGCAAAAAATATAATTAATTTTTTTATTTAAATTTTTTAAAAACAGTTTTTATTTAAAAAAAAAAATATATATATATATATATATATATATTTGGGGGTGTCATTTTTTAATATGTTGCCTGTACAACAATTTATAAAAATATGTTAATTTGTCTTTCAACAAGAGTCCAATCTGAGGTAATCTACGAGACCATTAGGATTTGTTATTCCAACACTTCTCATCATAAAGCAGGTCTAAGTAATTAGCCATGTGCAACTACGTCAGTTGAGATATCTTTATTATTTTAGAAAGAGGAGAAGATGCAGTGTGCTCCAGAAACCATATATTGTGAGATGTCTCATGAAGGAGCACTTTGTCTATTTATGTCTTGAAGCTAATTTGAGTTATTTCTCTCTCCCCTCTGGTACTCCTCTCTCCCCCTGTCTCATCATTAACAGTTCTGCACTCATAACTCATCACAGTGATAAATGCCTCAGCCTCACCCCACCTCAGTCCAGCTTCTTCTCTTCTTCTGTCATTCTTTTGTTTCTATACAGTCCATTGTCTTTCTAATTCTTGCCCTTTCTCAGGTTCATACTGGTGAATTCAGCACCTGTAGAAAGATATTAATATCAAAGCCTGCCAAGCATTATCAGGATCTCCAGTTACTGCGATTATTCAATAGAGCGTAATTTTACTCCTTTCCAAAGAAATAATGAAGAACAAGATCAAGATGATGAAAGAACTTCTTATATGGAGCGCTTAACAATTTAAAGTGCCTTCTGGATCCTTTACAATTCACATTCAGCTGTGATCGGAGCTCCACAATCGATCAAACTAAGCAGCTTTGTCTAATTATGTTATTTGCTGTATTTACTAGTTCTAGGTCATGATGAAAGTATTGGCAACGATCCTGGCCACCATGTGATGATGTACATTGGGTTTGGTGTGAGAGCTTTATTCTTTTTTTCCCCTATTTTTCCTTCAAAGATGCTTCTGTGACAGAGAAGGATGTTTTTGGGCTAGATGGGCAGATTGAACACAAGCTGGCCTTCCTTCGAAAGCATGTGCCTCGGGGCACCAACCTGCTGCTGATTGGCCACTCCATCGGTTGCTACATCATCTTGGAGATGATAAAGAGAGACCCAGATCTCAAGGTATAAGCACCTGGATGAGAAGGCATTCACTGAACTAAAATGCAGCTAATGTAGCACACACCCTATGAGTTGCTGGATACGGTCTGTTATTTTCTATAAATAATTTTATAATAATTGAATGTTGTAACACAATAAATGCAGTTATCTGATTTGGAGTTTAAAGGTAAAATATTTGCGTATTTAGAGGAATTTCAGCACATTCAAAGTCACCAAATAAAATCACTTAATTTACTTGATTGCATAAAATCTCAAAATTACATAAATATTTTTCGAATCAGATTTAATTTAATAATTTAATATATTCACCCCCCCCCCCCCCCCCCCCAAAAAAAAAAACTGATTTGTTCGAGATTATTCACATTTATTAACATCCTTGAAAACCTATATATTTGCTTACTAAGGTATTGCTCATTTTGAATTGAAAAAAAAGTTCCCCAATGACCACTGACCCACAACCTCTTTCCTGTTTCTGTGCCCTGTCTAGAGGCTATCTACTGATTCTATTCGATTCTCCGCATTAAACAGCATTGTACTGCTGTCTACAAAACTTGGCATTGTTAGCTCAGCGAGACAATGCCAATCAGCAGCATAATAAAACACTTCAGTTCCCTTTTCTTGCTGTGTAAAAGGTCAGGAGATTAAATAACATGGAAAAGAACCTTGATTTTCTTTCTTCCTCTGGGGTTTTTCTGCTCTAAGATGTGCTCCTTGTCATTTTTTACTTTCAAGCATTTTCTCTACCAAGAAACCTTTTCCTTCTTCTCTCTTAACCTCTTTTTTAGTGTTTGCCCTCACTAGTGGTGTGTTTTCCTCCTGGCAAAGGGAAATGGATTTTAGCTACATTAATGGGGCCAGTGCAGTTATTTACCACTTTTTTTGCAGTGCGATAAAAATATGTTCTGATAGTTTTGGAGACAGTCCACATCCAAACCACTTTTAGTTTAGACCTTAAAGCTGGTCTTTTTTCTCTTTAATGATGACACAACCTCCTTATCACACTTATCGATTGGAAGGTCCTCTTTCATAATTTATTAGAAATATGCTTCATTCCAGGCAATTAAAACATTGCCAACCATGCAGACCTTTTGTTTCTTTCAAAATTCGAATCTGTTCTTTTTTGAATTATGGTGTGGCTCAGAGCAAACTTGCACGAAAGGAGAAAAGATTTACTCTAGTTCCAGATTGCAGGCTGCCAGGAAGCCAACCTGGTGATTATGCCTGGTAACATATGATGTGTGATAATCAGAAACTGTTACTATGGGCTCTAGATATTTATTTTGGAGTAGAAGAGACCAGTCTGTGTAAATGATGGTAGGGGCTTCTTTAGTGCACTTCTGGAAGAGAAGCTTTGCAGATTTCAGCCTCAAACCAGGAGCAGCATGAGGTAGGTTGGAAAACCTTCCTAAAACTTGAGGAAGTGTTTGATTCACTGCACATGGAGGTGCTCAATTGTTTGTCTCTGTCATGAGTCCAGTTCAAAAGTCTTCCCTGTTGCTTTGATGTACTTACTTGTTGTAACACCATATATGTGCCAGTTGTAGAATAGACGGTCTAAAGAGAGCAATTGATTTGTTGCTGTGAGGCCGCAGCAGGGATTGGAAATCTACAGTCCTTTTTCCAGCCAACACCTCAGCCTGAGGTAGAGCGCTAGGGACCTTTAGGTGAGGAAAGTGCTTTATGACTCCTCTTGCAGCAGCCATCTTGCCATGTGCCCTGCGAAGGTGATGTCATTTCCTATGTTGTTTGCATAGATGTAAAGTTTGGTTTAACAGCTGTTGGCTGAAGTGTTGCTATGCATTTTATTAGTGTCATAGACATGTTGGTTAATTACTCTGATTGCAGTTAAAAAATAGATTAAAGGAACACTCAAATTCCCATGACACAAAAATGTGTCTTTCTCTTCCCAGGCATGAGGACTTGCAAGTGTGGCTTAACTTGTAGGCAAGTGTGTCGCAGCGTTCTGGGTGGGCCTCTGTTTGGGGAGCAGAGGTCAGACCGACAGTCCTGAAGTATTGGTGTGATTTCATACTTAACTCAAATAAAACATCGTTACAGTCACAGCTTGAGCCAAACACAAGCGTAAACATTACAGCACACAGACCTGTCTCAATTTCCCCTCACAACATCTCCAGATTTTAATGCTCCCAGACGTGACCACGGACTGTCCAGCCCATTGGAGTCACACGGTTGTGAAAACGTTTTTGGTTGTTCGGTCTGGCACGCTTTTGGCAGTGGTTTCTCTCAGCCTTGTGGAACATGAGGGGCATGATGGCCTGGCTTGGTGCATTCATTCATCAAAATGAAAGTGACATCATGGGATTTCCCTCCTGCTTCCCATCGGGATCCATGAGGAAATGACCAGTCTTTTCCTAAGGGTAGCGGTGACAAGGTGCTTTTGACTTCAGGTGGACCTTTTCACACACTTCCAACAGAGTTAAATACATCGCCCTTTCCTCTGCAAGGCATCAATCGAAGGGACCGAGTGGTGCTAACGTGAGGAGAGGCGGTCGCTGCATCACGATTGCCATTGAGATACTCACTGTTAGTGGTTGAGTTGAAAGAGATGTGGTCTGGACTGCAGTATGATCCATCATGCTGTCTGAAGCTCCAGTAGATCTGTGCATCATTAACATTCCTCCACTATCAGATCGCACCCTCACATCACAGATCCGTGGAAGTCAGATTGTGACGTTTTAAACTCTCCTCGCCCCTTCTCCAGATGCAGAGCGATCCTTCCCCCTTCCTGACCTCAGAAGTACCAGAGAAGAAACCCTCTAGAAGTAGAAGTGTGTGTGTGTATGACTGGCCGCCTGTCTCTCTGATTAAAGAGCCACTCCCAGAGACTCTGTCAGATTTTTCTGTGTTCTTTGTTACATTCCTGTGACCTCCAGGAAGAGGAACTGCTTCTTGTCAAAAGCACTACTTGCACATCAAAGATCACCTGCTCCGCACACAACTCCCTCTTCTTCACCTTTCCCTTTCTCTTTCACTGCCCCCCCCCCCCCCCCCCCCCCCCCTCTCTTTCTCTCTCTTTGTCTGACAAATAATGGGCATCAGGATGAGCAGTGAAAAGCAGATGAAAAGTATTATGTGAGAGGTTTGTATGCTTCCTGTATTTGTATTATATAGTTGTGTATAGATTTATTAGTGGCCACTATCACTAATACTATTACTCATACTTGGAACGCCTTAGTAGCTGCATTGTAGAATCCTGAAAAACAAAGGATTCTAACATTCTAACAAAACACCCTAGAAACCGCACTGCAACAAAACATCTTAGCAATTGTATAGCAACCTGCTAACAACTGCTCAGAACATCTTACCAACTGGATAGTAGAGTCTTAGCAACCACCCAGAACACCGTAGGTCTTACAAGCATCATTCATATTCACTCCAGAAAATGTAGTTTATAGTTGAGTAAACTGTATAGATTTTTTCTTCGCACACATAAACAGAGCAACTAATTTGATCTCCATTCTGAAATGGTCTCAATTGTAATTGTTATGACAGAGGAACTCTGGGATGTGAATCGCTCATCCATTCGGATTTTGATATCTTTCCCACTGACAGCAATAGATTTAAGGCCTGTTCAGATGATAAATTCAGCGGCAGCAGAACTTTGCCTGTTCGCCTGTTGCCGGGGCGTGATGAAACCAGCACTCTTTCAGGATTGCAGAACTAGCTGAGTTTGAAGTTTAGTGGTTTGAAGCTGAATAGATTGCATTTGGCACTGCTGACAAAGAATTGTGCTGGCTATCACATATTTTACACAAGAGAATTGAAGATATTGCACTGTTTAGTTTCATTGAAAAATACTTGGCTGCAACTGCAAAGGATTGTAGAGACAGATGAAGCACATCCACTCTGTCTTACTCACTGAATGAGTCTAGCTGCCTTCTACTCAATGGCCAAACAGAGGCAGGTGTTTCCTGTTTCTGGAAGTCTCTCTCTCTCCTCTCTGTTCCCTCCTTCCCTTGTCTCTCCTATCAATTTCATAATATAGCAAGAGCACAGACATGTAATTTTTCTTAGCTTGATAACTCTTAAGCATTGAAATTAAGACATTTGTTATGATTATAAGTGCTTGCAATGCTGTCGTAAATATTATGCGTTACATCTCAGTATGTAACATTTTGTTTGGCTGTTCTTGGTTTTCTGCGTAAGTGTCAATTACTTAACATGACCAAATGTAAATGGGCCAAGAGAAAGTCCAGGAATTTAAATACCGTAGTTTTTCTGACCTTGGTTCATTTAAAAAATCTCCATATGTACTTCTCATCCTTTCAGGTTGTGAAGGCAGTGATGCTCTTCCCCACTATTGAGCGCATGGCCTGTAGCCCTCAAGGAAAGGTCATGACCCCTGTGCTCTGTCGACTGCGGTACGCCTTCTATTTGCCCATCTTCCTGCTCTCCCTCCTTCCAGAGAGGCTGAAGATCAGCATGGTGCATCTAGCCCTGAGGAATTTATACACACTGGACACCTCCATCATCCCATCCACCGTCAGCCTGATCAATGTAGACTGTGCTGGTGAGTTTCCTTGTGTTCTCAACTGTAAACTTTTTCCTGTATTATTTGAATAGAACAAGCTATAGAATGCACTATAATGTGTATTGGGTGGTTTGATATATTGATCGAACAATGTTTTTTTCAATAGCCAACTGATAGGCAGCCAATATACATTTATATATATTTATAATTGTATATGAAGTGTGTGTGTATATGTATGTATGTATGTATATATGTGAATATGTAAACCTTCATTAGTTCAGTGTAGGACTCAGCTCGGTTTAACACATTTTACCATAATTTATGGTTTATTCCATCATTTTAATCCATTTTGCAAAATGTCCCCCTCCCTCAGAAAGTTATTTGGCCCAGAAATATCTACTGGTCATGTTTTTTTTCTTGTTGGGATGCATCTCAGCGTGTGATAATCTTTTGCAGCATCTGTAATATTCTGAGCACTAATAGACACTGCTAAAATGTAACATATTACACTTTAGGTTGTCTCACGCAACCTTTCTGTTCACCTCAGTGATGTCCCCTCAGGTCTCCATTTCCATCTCTCTCAGTTTGGACTCTGCTCCAAAGATCTAATCCTTGTTTCAATGAGGTGCTGAAACCTTTCAGAAGTTCACATGTTGGCATCCCTCCAAACCTTGACTGTTCAGATGCGTTGCTCTCTCTTTTTATCAGACGATAAGAAGTATATCACCACTTCAAAGATGACTCGGCCGATTTAGTTGAGATAAAGTCGAGGCCGAAGAGAGGGAAAACGCAAATAATATTTGAGTGGCAGCCAAGAGAGCAGTATCTCACAATGTTTTGAATAAAGTTTTATTTATCATAACTCATATTTGATCTCCAGGGCTTTCTGTACATGAACTAATGGTGCAGATGAAGTGTTGTGAGTAGGAGTAATTAAGAGGCCTCTCCAGCGAGCAAGAGAGCGAACGGACCGCTAACGCAGTCTCTCTCTAGGTGAAAGGCTGAGTGTTTTCCCTGTCTGTCCTGGGAGGAGAGTGATGGATGTTGTGATGGCCGGAGAGTCTCTGCCAAAGAGGCCTCAGTAGAGCCCAGAGGCATTAGTGTGAGCTCCACTCTCTAGTCGCTCTGAAGAACCAGTTTTCTCACTCGCTCGCCCTTCTTTTCTCCGTTTTTTATGCTGTTTCCTTCTCCCTGTGTTGCGCAGGGATTTGGAGGTTTGCTTCTGACAGTGCTTATAAGCATGCTTTTAATCATTAGCACTTCTCATGTAGTGTCAATTGGAATGGATTTTTCTTTTTCCCCCTTTTTTTTCATCTGAACAAAATGTTCAAGTGAAACTTTCTTCCCCTTATTAAAAACCAACAAATGTTGGAATACTGCTGCAAGGACGTTTAATCTCTTGTTATTCATCGAAAAGGCCAGGTGGTCCTGTATGTACACATGTGCATGCGTGCGTTTTGTACCATTAAGTGCTGGCCCGTGACTGCATACGAAAAGCTGCTCTGACTCTCTGTCTTGTATTACATCCGTAATTAATGGCGAGTTGACAGACTTAATTAAGAAAGCATGTTGCTATTAGCTGGAACTTCCTGGGCACATTTAAGGATTTATTTGCTCAGAAATCCCTTTCCTTGAAACTGAGAATGTTGATATTTTGATGTTAACTGCATGTGGAGCATGCACACAGTGTCTGTCATGCAGACATCAAGGTTCTGCATCTAGGAGCGTAAACGTCAATGAGGCGTGCCTGCTCGCAGATCCACAGGGAAAGTGGCTTTGTAACGGTCTCTAATATGCTTTATCCTTTCAGTAGTCTGCAGCACTCCACTTCACACAGCTTCTGTTTTCACTCACCTAACCACTTATGCCAGTTCTCATGACACGGTTTTATGATTGAACACTTTTGCACTCTTCTATTCAGGCTTCTGTTGGCCTCATTTATGAGAAGCGGGAGATTTGACCCACCATCTCTGGAGATGCAGTTTGAACTCCTCTGTCTTTAGTTCCTTTTGCTGTTCCGATCATAATTTGGCTCACCTGGGAAAGCGGGAAAACAGAGCGTAGCGGCAAGTTGCTCCCTTTCCTGTTAGAGCGGAACAAAGTTAACGTCGACCTGATTTTGGAACCTAGAGGCTAAACTCGTGAACTTCTTATCTGCCACCTTACTTTTGAGTCATATTCACTTCCTCCTCCGGCCACCTGTTTCTGCTTATATGTGGAACACCTTTACATTGGTAGACTTATTACTGAACAAAACACAAAATTGCTTGGCTGTTGATCAATTGTTGTTTCTTCCTGCATTTTCTGTTCTTCATAGATTTTTAAAACAATGGGAACATCTAGTAGTACATTACTGTAACTTCTTTAAATTAACATTTTTCTCATCATTTACTCATTCTCAAGTTGATCCAAACCTGTATGACTTTTTCTTCTGTGGAACATAAAATAAGATATTTTAAGAAATATCTCAGTGGTTTTTTTTTTTGTCCATGCAATGGAAGTGGTCACCAAAACAGGTTTGTTACCAACATTCCCTTAAAATGTATTTTGTGTTCTGTAGAATAAAGAAAATCATACCGGTTTGGAACGAGGGTGAATAGAAGTGATGCTAGCATTTGCCTGAACATCACCATTAGATGGAGCAGGACACAGTAAAAAGATGCAGTGCTCAATGTGGCGACTAAAAAGTGCATCTTATACTCATTGTAACAGTTATGCAAAAACAAACTGGATCATATTTTATAGCTTCAAATAAGATGTTCCACAAAACATAAGGAAACCTCTTGGAACAAGTTGAGATTGGTTATTTTAATTACACTTATTATAACTTACACGTACACTTTATAAACTTATATACAAGCACAAAGAAGCTTGTTGCATCTGTTTTCAGTGTTAAAGGGTTAGTTCAGCCAAAAATGAAAATTATCCCATAATTTACTCATCCTCAAGCCATCCTATATGACTTTCTTCTTTCAGCCAAACACAATTGGAGTTATATTAAAAAATATCTTGGCTCCTCCAAGCTTTATAATGGGAATGAGTAGCGCCTGAGATTTTAAAGCTCAAAAAAGCACATCCATCCATCATAAAAGTAATCCATACGGCTCCAGGAGGTTGATAAAGGCCTTGAAGTGAAGCTATGTGGTTTTGTATAAAAAATAGCCATATTTACAACTTTATTAACTCGAATCACTGGCTTCCGTACACGAGTCGAGTTCCGGCCGAAGTGCAGAGGATAGAGCAAAACAAAACGTGCCGACGGATGTTACCGGAAGCTATAAATAGGGATATTTTTCGCTTCAGAAGGCCTTTATTAACCCCATGGAGCCGTATGGATTACTTTTATGATGGCTGGATCTGCTTTTTGGGCTTCAAAATCTCAGTTACTATTCAATCCCAGTATAAAGCTTGGAAGAGCCAGGATATTTTTTTTAAATTACTTTGAAAGAAGAAAGTCATATACACCTAGGATGGCTTGAGGGTGAGTAAATGACAGGATAATTTAATTTTTTTGGGTAAACTAACCCCTTAAGAGTTAAACTGCAACATATTTGGTTTTGACTATCCTACTACAATATAAAGATTTTATAAAGATTTAAATGTCATCTATTGTTATCTTACTGTCTGTAATGACCACAGAACTGATGAGAACTTGATGTTTGATTTCATTATCTGTTGAATGTTTGAAGGATGAGGATTTTCACATACATCATTTAATCCATTTGAAAATCATTGTATAATACAATCGAGTGTTGAGACTTGATCATGTCAAAGCTGAATACATAGATTCCTGATTTTCCACACTTCATAGAGCGTTGTGCTGCCTGATATTGAAGGTTTGTCATTTTATGACATTGTGTCCATGGGCTAGTCATTTATATTATTTTTATATTATTATTTTACTTGAGATCCAAGAACCACATCTGCAACTCTTGTGTTGGCCCAGAGGGCAGTAAAAATCCCTCAAAAATGTTTTTTTTTGTATTTTTTTTATTCTGATCCAGTATGTAACAATAGTCATTTTCTCATTGTGGTTTTGATATGTTGCAGAACAGTTGACCCTCTCTAATAATAGGGTCATGCTGACATTTGAATTTCTTTAAAAGTTGTTTACATAGTCATAACTAAAGTAGCTATAGTTAATTTCATAACCAGGGCATCAGGTGTGATCTGTCATGAAAAAAAAGAACACAAGCCACCCCAAAGTGTTGAATAGGAATATCCTGTTCATTAGGGGTATGAATGAAAATGTGATGACATTATAATGCAAGGTCTGTTTATTAGAGTAACTCCCCAAAATGTCTGTTCTCCGAACTACTTGAGATGCAATGGATCATGGCCACCCACCTTGTGTTCTTTTTAACGTGATGAAAAAAGAAATCTGTATTGTATTTCAGTTTATGTGGATTTCTATTACGACATGTGTTATTGAATTGGAAGGGAGAATATAATTGTCACATTCGCTTAGCTCTTTTAAAGGGAAATATAATAAAGAGAAGCACATTGTGACTTTGTGGTCTGTGAAAACGGTGGAGAAACTGGACGATACGCTGTTCTTTCTGTGTCCGTGGACTTCAGTCAGTTCTGCCGTCATGAACTTCTCTTGTTTGTGTTACTAATGCAAAGTGACTGGAGAAAAGACGTAAATAGATGGTTTTAGACCCAATAAAGGAATGTGTGGTGTAAAATAAATATCAACAGGACAATTGGGAAGCACATGCAAAGAGTATAGAGGCACATTAGGCACATTATGCAAAGAAGAAAACGTTTTGTTCCCCATCCGCATCTTGAACTGAACAGGATGGAACATTTAAATGCTTTTGTTTGTTTGAGAGGCTTGAATCACTACAGTCTTTTGCAATTGATTTGTTTTTTATAAATCTTTGAAGATCAGGCATTACTTTGATTAATTGTTGAACATTTGGCTCAGTTATGAATTTTCACTTTGCTTAACTGTGCATACAAGTTTTTGATATGAAATACTTTAGGGAAGTTGGCCATTTTTAACATTTACTATACAGCAACCTTTTAAAACATTAAAAATTCATAATTTATGAAAGTATGATGACCTAATATTAATTGAAATGTTAATGAGGAAAGTCCATAGACGCGTCATATGTCAACTGCCCATCTTGATTTTGTGTCTTGCCACATGGAGGTACCCAGGAGCCTAACAGGAGACACTGAAATATCTGCACGTGTTTGCGTCTTTGTGTGTCTGTGTCCGCGTTTTTGCGCACAGATCCCTCGGATCTACCTCTCCAGACAGTTGTTAACTAGGTGCATGTGTGAGGATGTGTAAAATTGACTGGAATGCTGTGCCCTGCCAAACCCCCCATCCCGATACCCCCCTGGAGATAAGTGAGATAGAACAGGGGATGTCTCGCAGATCACTGCCCCAAGACTGGCACACCCATCTCCCTCAAAAGATCTCAACCTCTACCTTTTTCCCCCTACCTTCTCCTCATGGGGTTTTTCTCCTATCTGTCATCCCACCTTTTCGATTTATACAACACTTTAATATACAAAGTGTATTAATGGACTGTGATGATTATGAAAGACTTTGTGATGATTAATTGTCACACAAATAAGGTTAAAATTCTCTACTTTGACTGTCACTTACAGTGTGTTCACACACAACTTAAGGTGAAAGTCATTTCCCGTTATTTTACGTTAAACTAGTAGACATAAAATGTTTGATTTAAGTGGTTTTCTAAACTGATATTTCATAGGGTTGTAAAACATAAATTTAATATTCTAAATGTTAAAATGTCTTAATATTTTAATTAGTCAAGTCCACTCTCATTTCACACTCTTGATTTTTTTTTAACCCACCCACCTGAATATTAATAAGAGGTCTGTCTGTATCTGTCCATCCGTCCGTCTGTCCGTCATCACAGAATAATGATTCTGTTCTAACTTTTTATGTATTTTCAGCAATTTAGCCTTAATTTCTCGTTAAAGAAACTTAACGTTTGTTTTTAATATGTTATTCATTCCCAATCTAAAGAAATGGTCCCATCTCCTCTTTTCATTGCATTTCATTACTTTCATGTAATTTCATGAATTTAAATCAGTAAAGTGGATTGCTCTGCATTCACAAAGTAACAACCTGCATCAAGGATTTGGAATTAATCAAACACTTAAAGTTCCAGAAATATGTCAACTAACTTAAAATGTTCTTGTTTGGTTATATGATAATATGTAATCGAGATTTAAAGGGCACAACGATTGCAGTTATCTCACATATCATGATTTGATCGAAAAACTGCAACAGGCCTTCCTGATTATTTACTTACATTCAAAGATTCTTGTATTTGAATCATAGGGTAAAGGTAGTGGAAATGCAGTGAACTTTACTCTTCTGTAAAACCCTCTAGTTTAAACATCCTCTGATCCAGTTTACCTCAGTGGGTGGAGATGTTGTTTGTGATGTGTTTAGTGTAATAAAATTAGATGCCTTAGTAAGTCTTCTGTGTGTTCATTGTGTTCTATGGCAAATATTTGTTTGCACCTCATCTCAAATGACTCATGTCTCCCTTTAGTACACATCAAAATGCAAAGGAAAGCTTACATATAACTTTAACATTTATTTGGAAGCAAAAAGCAGCCAACCAAAACACTTAAGTGAGTCTGAAACCTCTCTGGTGCTGGGAATAAAGGAGACATTCTACCATGAGTCCCACTTGCTCAGTTCTTTGAAATACGACTGGCACACTCCCGTTTTCTTTTTTGTGTGAAGGCATGCATTGAAGGAAGTTACAGATCAGACCTGAAGCTAGATTTGTACTCTTTAATGATCGGTTGTCATGGTCTTACTAAGATGTTTAGCACCAAAAACCACACCCTTAGTTGTTAAGTTGTGTTTTTTAGCTTGTTGCTAGGCTGTTGCTATGGTTCTGGGGGTTGTTTACTAGCCCCCCCAAAAAAAAACTCGCCTCCAATTATCCATGATATTCTATTGATATGCATGTGTGTAGTAGTATGAATACACTCTGGACATACATCCGCCATGTTGCCACTGTCATGTGACCTACAACATCAGATACACTCTTTAGAATCTCGATAGAAGCAGTATGTCATCTTGGTATTTATTAAGGGTTTTATGAATACATTGGATTCGGACATGGTACTGATTTGATGTACTGCTTTTTTGCGTACTATTTAGTAGGGAAATATTCATACCAAGGACTGCAATAATTCTTTTCGCAACCACCATTAATGAAATGTGGAAAAACCCTTTTGCACAGAAGGCTTTCATTCAGTTTTCCCCATTTCCAAAAATCATTTCCTCTGTAAATATAGTGCTGAATTAAACTCTCCAATCTGAAAGAGGAAACATTAAGAATGAACTTACTAATGAAACATGGCGTAACTTTAAATTATTTAAAAAAAAAAAATTCCCTGTGCTTTTCTGCTTTGAGAAAGGGATAAAATTGATTACTTGCCTTTTTAGTATGTGGCTCTCAGTCTTGTGAAATGTGTTAACAGTGCTGGATGATATAGTACACGGCCATGATTAATATGATAGCATTAGAGCCGTGCGGATGTGTGATCATACCCACACTTCCTTTTCACTCAGTGGAAGCAAGTCATTTGAGGAGTTTTTCCTTACACACACACAGATGCTTTCTTCATGCACACACACATGTACACACTTCCTCCATAGTCTGAGGGTGAACAATCATCAACGGAATGTCCTGATGAGAAAGGATATTAACACATCTCTTGGCCAAATGTTTGGACCTCGCAAGATCAGGATCAGGATCAGTCTCTTAGAATTGTTGCCAAGGGCATCAAGGTCATGCAGCTTGTATTTGCTTATGAATCTCAAGATTTTGTGTGTGTGCGTGCTACTGGTAAACCCTACTGTACATCACTGTACAACAAAGATGGCAATATTCAAACTCCTTGTCCTTGTGGGGGACGTTTTTTGGTCCCCATGAGGAAAACAGCTTATACGTCATACTAAGTGATGTTGTTTGAAAATATAAAAATGCATAAAGTTTTTTTTAATAGGTAGGTTTAAGTTAGGGGCTAGAATATACAGTCCATTGAATATACAGGCATGTATATTGGAATATATGGAGTGTCCCCATAAAACATAGAAACCCAACATTGAAGTTTTAATTTGTTTTTTGTTTTTTCAAGTTTTATTCAGATTAATTCATTCAAAACTCCTCATTGTTTCTGAGGCAGATATTTTTGTAATCTAAATCTGTTTATATATAGTATATATAGTATAGAGCAGCAAGTTCTTGCGCAGCAAATCAGCATATTAGAATGATTTCTAAAGGATATTGTCACCTACCTTCAAGACTGGAGTAATGACATCACAGCTTAGTCATCACAGGAATAAATTACTTTTTTATTAAAATAGAAAACAATTACTTTAAATTGTAATAATATTTTTTTTCTGTTTATACCGTAGTGATAAGTGACTTCTTTCAATAACATTTTACATTTTAACACACACACACACATATATATATATATATATATATATATAGTCACCAGCTTATTAGTTTGTTTGTTTATTTAGCATATTTATAGTGTTAAAAAAAAAAAAAAAACACACACACACACACACACACACACTCACAAAAAACTAAAATAAATAACTGAAGTATAAAATCAATGGCATTTCTTTTAAATATCCACTCTGCAAAGCCTGCACGTAGAGACCTGGGAACACATCATATGAAATATTCACAGACGACATACGTCACTTCAGTGCACAGAGTCTGAACCCTAAATCAATGACATCATTGTGCATCATTAAACTGTTAGTAGGAGTGTACATCCAGTAAGTATGAACGGGAACAGATGTAATCCTCATGAACTGGTTGCTGTTTCCGTGTTTGTACGAGCACTGGCCTTTGAGGTTGTGCCGTTTTTGGATGTGTATTTAATTTTGATACTCTACATGTTTAGTAAACCTTGCAGTGGCCGATGTGTAATGCAAATGTTCACAAAGTTCTGTTTGCACTACCTCATTTATTGCAATTTTGTAATATGCTAATCCACATGTCTGTCTCTGTTGTTGTCTCTTTGTCTCTACAGCCAATGGTATGTACATGGGAAGCCAAGAAATGAGACTGGTTGTAGAAAGAGACAACGCAACTATTCGTCAACACCTCAGCAAGGTAATAAACAGTAGATTGGAGTGATGTACCAAATAAAAGCGAAAATTAAAAATTCAGGACATGGCCAAAAGCCGAAAACACTCATTTTAAATTAGCCTTTGTTTTGAACAACTATCAATTCTGTTAATCTTAATAAGATAACTTTTTAGTGATTTATTTCACATAAGAAGAAAGGAAGGAACAATATTTAAAGTGCTGTTTGAATAAAATGACAGTATTGACAAAATGGTGTAATTAAAAATGGTGTAATTATGCACATGTCAGAATTGATCAAGTTACTTTAAACAAACTCTATTCCCAACAGTCTCGAACTGATTTGTGGCTAATTCAAGAACATCTGTATCCTACAATGTATCTTATGAGATGTTGTGTTAGTCTATCACTCTCTATAATGCATGTTTTATTATTCAGTCAATATACACATCCAGTCTCTTGTAGAAATACATTAAACGATGCATTATATTTCATATAAATAAATAGTACAATTATGTAGAGATATTACATTTCTCACAAAATTCTAATATTCTACAAGTGATAAATAGCCAATAAATGTACTATTTTGTCTAAATAAATATAATAAAAAAATAATTTCAATTGCTAGGCATCGCATAATAATGTACAGTATGAAAATGGATGTTTATTTTGAGATTGCATTTAACAATGTTATTAAATGAATAATGTTTTTAAAGATTGACCTAAAATATAACTTGAGCATTACATGATGGCAAAGGCAATCTAAATGTGAAAAAAGTGGAAAAGAGCATGCACAATTAAAAATGGAAAATCAACTGATATATTGCCAATATTGTCTGTGGCCAAAATGTTGATAGATCACTTGTAGATGACTGTAATAAGTCATTTGTAGCCAACAGCATTGTTCCCCATTGTTATTTGTTTTTACTGAAACAATCAGATGGCACAGCTTTCCTTAATTTCCTACATATTAAGGGCGTTGAACAAACCTCTAAACATGTAAGACGCAGATGAAACCCATGCTGACTAACCCTCAGAGAGCTGATAACCAATCAAAAGATATCAGATCTCAAAGCACGTTCCTCCAACCCACCCTTCCGTTTTCTCAATGAAAGCATGGGCGGAAGAACCATGTGTTCCTTTCAGTACTGTGGTGTGATGCAAAGCAGAGACTGCGTACACATGCAGAGGAGCTCCTGATGGTCTATATCTGTCATCAGTTAAAAAGGTGATATCGTCACCGCTCTTAAGAGTCACATACTCGAGGCCTGCTTCTTATGTTACACATAGCACCTCGACAACCGAAGTAATTCCTGGTCAAAGCTTCAGAAATTCCCTCGAGTCTGGAAACCGATCGAATGTTTTCCCGGTCTGATCTTTTAGCATCCCACCCATAATTCCATGGAGGAAGGAAGCTCTACTTTTCCGTCCATGTCTCTGACTACCATTGTCTGTTTGCCCGTATGGGTGTCAGAGTATGTGGCATTCTTTGGTATCGGCTTCGCAGTCCGTCTCGCTTGCCAATAGCGATGCTAGAATAATTTTCTTCCGAAAAAGCTGAAGGTGAAGACAGGAGGTCATATGTTTAAACCCCTCTCAGCCTTAAACCACATGCATCTGACTCCTCTATTAGATTTATGGGCTGTGGTGAAATCGATCAGGCCGACAGATGTAGAACCCATCATGATTAACTGGTACAGTCGGCAAAGGCTATACATTATGCAGTTTGTCAGAGAAATCATGCAAAGCAGTTGACAAGAGAATTTGATCTTTCTATTGTGTACGGCTCTCGAGGTCTCACCAATAAATAGCCTTTAGAAATCTGCACGGGTGGTTTTTCCTTTCACATTGATGTTATTGGCATCATTCAGCCCAGGTTACAGAAGCCTAACTCAAGGAAATACCCTTCAAGTGTCCACACCGGTGTCTGAGGGGACATGGTGGACGTAGCGGATTTAATGTCAATCTTTCTTATATTTTGTTTTATTGAAATGCAATCTTAATTGTTTTCCCATTTGGAATCCTCTGTGAAGTTCTCAGCTTGCTCCGCACTTTTAAAGACTTTCTCCATTCTGCTTTATAGATTTATGGCACATGATGAACAGTCTACTTTGATGTTTCATCTCCCAAATGATATTTGACTGATCATACCTTGAATCAAAAGGAACGTTTTTGACTAGGGCTGTCAGTTTACTTATTATTAATCATTAGTACAATTAATTATATTAAAAAATTACCTATTTACTCATGCCCCATGACCCAAACCTATTTTATTTTATTTTATTTTTTAAGATATTATTGTATTATAATGTTATTGCATTATATTTTATTATATTATATTTTATCCTATTTTTAAATAAATTCTTTTAAAAAGATAAATTAAACAAATTATCTTTTATTTTATTTTTTTTCTCTAAACAAATATTCATTTATGCAGTTACTTAGTGTATAATGTAATTCATTTGATTAAATCTTTTAATTATTTGACAGCCCTAGTTGAATCCTTTTCACAAAGTAAAAAGTTTTAGAGCTTTAAATGATGGCATATGTCATTCATTGATAGCGGTGAGCTGAGGATATGAGAATATGAAGGAGCACATACTACAAACTCCAGTGATGGTCCAAGTTCCTATGCAAATCAAATGGGAGGGCTGCTACTTTTGTTATTCTTACATCATAGATTGTGCCTTTAAAATGAAATGTGGGGTTTTGTGACACACAGGTACTGGCTTTCTCTCAAATGGATGTCAGAAAAACAGAATCGTTGAAGCTCTGCTCTTATTATGATGCATGGTCACAGTGGTGAATCCCACAGTGCGGGAACCAACCTAAATCATTTTAGGTTTGTCTTTTCTGGCTTTTTCAGATTATTTTTTACTATGGAGCTACGGACCACTGGTGCCCTGTGCAGTATTACCATGATATCAGAAAGGACTTCCCTGAAGGGGACATTCGTCTGTGCGAGAGGGGCATCCGGCATGCATTCGTCCTGGATTCAGGGGAGGAAATGGCTAACATGACGGCTGAGTGGATCTTAGATGATTTGAAGACGCTCTGACGGCCAGAATAACATTTATTCAACTTTAATGTCTATCAGACAAATATTCTAACTGAGCCCCCTGTGTGAGTAAAAAAAAAAAACAAAAAAGCCCCCATTATTTTAGAATGTAAGGCTAATTCACACTGAACCAACAGATCACCAGATTACAGTATGTCACTGGTCAAACATTCCATGACCCGACAAATGCCAAATTAAGCTGTACAGTCGGTGTCTGTTGCCGTTGGTCGGCGTGTCGGTGCAGTGTGAATTCCATGGTGACGTATCAAGCATGTCACGTGTCACTTCACAGTCACGATGGAGCTCTATGACTGGCGTATTGGTGATATTTAATTTTTTCTCAAAATATTCATAAACATGTTAATAGATCGTGAAATATATGATAATTTAATTCTCAAATACGTGTAAGTAAATGTATCTTGTCCTTCAGCTTTTCAGTGTATTGCATAAATAATTTATTTTTGTGGAAATCTGTAATTTTCCAAACTTGACAACCAGACAAGTCACTTAAAAGTGCACTGTGTCATTTTTAGCGGCATCTAGTGGTGAGGTTGCGAATTGCAACCAACAGAAGTTACGGTGGCCGACATGAAAATATGTTCTTCGTCTGAGACAGCAGAGTAGCAGTTAAGCAATAAGGTTTGTTTACAAAGATAAATTAAGAAATTAGGTTTACTTAATTATTCAGTGAAACGATATGTTATTGCGAATATTATTGTTACTTGTTAATCATTGTGTCAATGTTTTATTCGCTGACTTTAGCTAGCTTCTTTGCACGAAGAACAACATAGTGATGAAAATGCGTTTGTCTGTTTAGGGCTATAACATGTCGGCGCAAAATGGCTATTTCAATGTTAGGGGACCCGTGGTGTTAGCCTGGGAAAACCCAGACAACTTCCGGCAAATATAGATTTGCTCTGAAAGTTAGTCTGGCAAAGAGCTCATTCAAGCTCATTTCCAATCCGTCAAAATCGCGGCACCAATCAGAAACGTTGGGGCGGGCTTTACACGATGACGACAGCGCTGGGATTTTGAAGCAGATTTTGTAGCCTACATTACAAAGATGGATGCCACCGTCGAACATCACTCGTTCGAATCAGCTATCGCGTCTGTTTTGAGCGATTTGAACGTTTCCTTTTAGTTAAAAACCGAGCAAAGAACAACACTCGGAGATGTTTCTGCCGCTCTGCATACGTCATCTCCTTCATCGCTCTGATTGGGTTTAGGTCTATCCGCGATGTCCGTTGGTGACGCCCCTCTGGAAATGATTTGTCTATGACGCTTTGCCAGACCATAACTCAGTTACAACTGAGAATGGTCTGGTTTTAACCAGGCTGTATGAAATGGCTCATTCTAAGGTTAAACATTACGGTTCATTAAGTAAGGTCTTTATACACCACTGAAAACTTAGTTATGTAAATAATATTGTCAACAGATCCTCCTAAATATTACACAATGCACCTTTAAGAACAAGATTCTTATATACAACAACAGCCTGGCATGAAGATATTGTCCTCTCGATGGAAAATAATTTTTTCAACATAAAACATTAAATAAAGTTATTTTATAATAAAATGTGAAAAAAAACTATAACATGAGTAAAAAAAAAACAATACGTAATGTAAACTATACAGAAGTATAGTTTAATTAAAATTGTTGACAAATACGATATATTGTTATAAAACATTTTGCAATTGAATCAATAAAAGCTTGTAAAGAGACATTGTCAAATTTTAGATTTTTTTGCAGTTGATTTCTGTCATTGGGAGAGAAATTTTGAATTTCTATGTATTTGCTATAATCATTTAGTAGAGTTAAATTACAAATTACAATGTTGATTGTCATGAATGAAATGTTTTGAATATTCAGATATTCAGTATTTGAGGAGGAAAGCTTTTGCTGAATATTGCTTTATCACTTGTGTATGATCCCTTCAACCTTTTCTGTTTGGCTTTTCAATGAAATGGTTTACAATCAGGACGTTACATGTGATTTGATTTCTTTCTGAAGAGAAATTGTATTAATATGGCAGGAAATGCCTGTACTAGCATGGACCACAATATTATGAATTTTAATGAAACTTGGGCTGACCCTGGTTAAAGGCAGAAAAATTATGCATATTTGAGCTGTCTCCACATGAATGGACCTCAACATTAACCCTGGATCATTTTTATTCTCCAGACTGCATCAGCAGGATTCTGGAATAGTGTTTTACCTGTAAAGCTGCTATTCTCTTAGCTTGAGACCTGTTTGGATTCTTTAGGCCCCAACTTGGCTCCTGACATATCCCAAGAGTTTGCTTTATGGTGAATGGGGAGCCAAAGCGGGACCTCTTATAAGAAAACCCGGCTGTAGGTTTGTTCTCCACTTGCATGGTTTCCTGGGAATTACCAAGTGAAATATTTTGAGAGTTTACCTCAAATGCCCAGGGACCCGTAATGTTATTCAGTCCTCTAACCACCTCAGTCAATGTAATGAAACATCAAAACTCAGTCAATGTAATGAAACATTAAAAAAAACTCTCATATTTTAGTGACGTCTTTTCAAACCTGTATGACTTATTTTCTTAATTTCTGAAGAATATCCTGTCCACATTTTAACATACAATAAAGATGAATGAGAACTGGGACTGTCGAGCTCCAAAATTACAAAAAAGCACCATAAAAGTATCATAAATTGGTCCATATGACTCAAGTGCTGTATTCCACGTCTTCTAAAGCCTTGTGATGGAACAGACCAAAATTGTATCATTATTCACTGAAAGAACTGAGAGAAGGGATGTCCAATTCCTGAGCAAATAATTATTTTGAGTCCGATCTATTCATCAAATTCTGAATGATTTGTTTGCAGATCAGATCATCGCATTCTCAAGTCCACCAGAGTAGATGGTTATGAGCCAATAACCAAATTTTACTCTCCTTAAAAAAACTTGGAATATATTTGATTCTTTTAGTGCCGTTCGCACAGAAAGGATTTTTGTATGGTTGTGGTTTGCTGTAAATCATTTGAGTGACAGGTTGTCCCAACCTCACACCAGTCACAAGAGAAAAGATGTCGCTGCAAGAGGGACGGGAAGTTACTTTGATTATGAGGGCACATGAATTGGGTATTCACGGATTGGGCATTTATAATAAATACTGCAATATCCCAGAAAAAATAAGAATTGACCATTTTGATTTCATTGCGACTTTAACTTGACACTGTGAAAAAGTAGCGGTATACAATGGCCCTTTTTTGGCATTTTGGAGCTTTCATTATATGGGAAAAAGTGGCAAGGAAATTCCCCCAAGGGCCACTAAATGATGACAGATATTTCTTTAGAAAAGGCTTTGCCACAACACCACAGGTCCTCAGCAAGTACTGACACCAACTTCCGTTGATTTGAAATCTGTCGTCTTCAGTGCCAGGACGTCCTGTAGGTGGACCGTTCCGGCAGTGATTGGCGCATCTTGTTGCAGAGCGACTCACCAAACGAAGAGTAAATATTTCCATCTGATCTGTTTCCCGTTCTCTCTGAGAGTCGGGACTCTCCGTGTAAGCCCAGGTCTCTTTAATCTTCCTTTCCAGCCTTCTCAAAAAGAATGACAAAGCCCCTTAATTTGCTTATCCTTGATTTAAACCAGGAGGCAGGGCTAGTTCATAGAAGGAAATGGAGTAATCCTGCCCGGGTGGATTGAATTGTGGCAAAGCAAACAAGCTTTACTGTTTTACGTCTCCAGAGTGGTTTGGGTTCTCTTGTGGTGATGAAGAATCGTTCCAAAGATACTCTGGTATTTTCCTGCCAAATATCATCTGCAATAGATCATTTTCTTTCCCCCTGGTCTTTGTTATGTTTTGTTTTGACATTTGCAATAGTTGCTCTTTGTTCCCCTCTCTCCCAGTTTTTGTACCAACTTAACATCATCTGATACGCTCTGATCTGGGGTTAAAATTGAAATAGATCTTTTCTACTAAATCTAAGCCTACTGTATTTGGTGTTGTTGTGAGATGTGTCTTCCAAAACATTATAGCAGCACAGATACTGTAGCTATTTCCTATTCATATATATATTTCAGGTCCTACATTCTCCTTCAATGACACAAACTTTGAGTGTAGGAAAAGCAAACAGTGCATCCCATCCCACAAGCCTGCTCTCACGGGAGTATTGAAAATGTTTTTCAGGTTGTGTAACTTAAAGAGAGCCAGAATTGTCCCCAACGGTGGCCCATCATTGCTATTGATTCGGTTTAGGGGAATAAGGTCAGTTTAAACACAGTATTTACATTAACATCAGAGTGTAATAGTGGAATCATGCGCTTTAAGTAAGAAGTGAAACGAAAAGTAAAGTGAGCAAAAATGTATGAAAATCTTCATGGGAAAAACACACTAAAAGACAAGCCAGACAACCCTGAGTTTGATGCAATGAACTGCTTTTGCATTCAGCTATATTAAAAGTGCCATGTGCATGAAAGCAGAACAATTACAAAATCTTTAGTATTTTGTGGGCGCCAGTTTCATATACGTTCGGTGTAATGCTGTATAATGTATTCAGAAGGGACACATCAAACATGTTGGAAAAGCTTTATGAAATGGTAAATGCCCAATATTTTGAGAAAAGACATGGATTTTATTGTGCAGTTCTAGTTTAAGCGCAAACCAGAATGTATCCTATTAGAAAACCCCTAGATAAATGCATGCAATCATACAACAAAATTGACATATTTAGCCTGTTTGATATGTAGCCTAAGTTTACAACATGCTGGCCATGGAAATGAGATTTCCTTAATGATGGAAAACTTAAAAAAATAAAAAAATTACCATGTTAGAAAATATGTAGTAATGGATAAATGACCATACATTTTGAATATTTATTGTATCATACTGTATTTAGTATATTTTATATAGTTTAAATATATTAATTTTATTATGGGTTTTATTTTTTAATATACATATTTCGATAAATAAATGAAAAAAACATTTTAGAAAATATGTAGCAAGTGACCTAGGAATGCGGTCACTTATTAGCCAACTGAAAATAAATGTATTTTTAAATTTAAAATATTTAGTGTATTAATAAACTTACTATATTTTATATTGTTTTTTCAATCATTTTTAATAAAATTGTATGCATTCATCTTTAAAAATAGCATTAATACCTAGTGTGTCAAGTGTCTAAATGGAAGTTACAGTGTTACTACAGAATCTGACTATATTATTTATCCCAAAAAAAACATTTGGATGTCAGCCTCATCATTTCCTCCATCTCAAGCTGTCTATCAACTTTTTGATCTGAATGAGATTTTATATGGACCGAAGTGGCTCTCAGGAAAAGGCATCTGGACAGATGTCAAAGTCTGGACACTGCAGTGCTTTTTTTGGTCTCACTTGTGATTCTGCGACATGATTCAATAAAAAAGAAACAAGCGTGTTTAAAAAGATCTTTCCTCTCATAAAGAAAAACCGTATCCCCTCTTGTCATGGACTCCAGGCAGTTGTTCAAATATTTGGGGGTCAGTATTCATTTAAAGCATCCCTAAAAAAATGGACTTGGTGAGGGGCCACCTATTCTCTGTCTCTAATAATTGTTTGATATAGTGTATTATTGCAGTATCTGTAGACTCAACAAAGGAAATATTAGTGACCTTGATTCAGATTAGTTTTGCTATCCATCAAAAACAGATTAACAGACGGCATAAACGTCTTTGAATAAGTTATCTCTGTTACTCCTTTTTAAATATTGGAGGTATTGTAATAAAAGTGAGTGATGATCCATCTCCTCGTTGCTCTTGCATCATAACCTCTGGACAAGTGCTCAATGGCAGGGCACAAAGTCATTCATTTCTGAAGAAAAAAACCCCCGCCTCCACAGAGACCCTCCACACATTAGCGTTTCCTGGAGTTTAGCACACAATGGCACACGGCTCCCCTACCAGCGCCGGACAATACCGTATCCCCCTCTTCACCCCGTGTTGTGCGGAATTTAGAATCACCTGGAAACTTCCTGAATACTTGCTGGCAAAAAAATGAGACAAAATACAAACCCAATAATGATTCCGGAACCGTGGGTGAGTCAGACAGTCACCGAAGGTTCACTTTCATGTGGATGTCTGGGAAAGAAGATTTGCTGCGGGAGTGCGGGAGTGTTTTATATATATAATATATATATATATATATATATATATATATATATAATCATCTGTACAAAAAAGACAATGCAATAAAGAAGTATAAAGAGATGCTAAGTGTGTTTACTTTTTGCTTTTTAAATTGAAATTTGTTTATATATATTTTTTAATACATATACTAATAAACATATCCCCCCAAAAAACAAGAAAGAAACAAGAAATCAATATATTGCAGATAATTTACAATTGAATTATGTACAATTCCTTATCTAACAGTATACATACTCTCAGATACACAGTGCATTTACAATAAAAAGTCCATAAAAATAGACATTCTCCCTTTTTAAGACAGTTTTGGACATTATCCTTGGTTTTTACTTTAAAATGATCATTTTCGCAGACAATACATAAAGCGTTTTTGGCATGTGTACAATAATTTACACTTATATTTTAAGCCTTTGTTCTAGTAAAAAGAAAGAAAAAATCAGTCACGGCTTATTGTTCTCCCCTCCCCTTTTTTGGAGCAACATATATTTCCCCTGCTTTACAGTAAAGTAAACCAGATATCGGTGAAGGTAAGTTAACATTGCTTAGCACTGATCAGCATGTATATCCGAGGGGTGCCAAACCTCTCTACTGAACCATGACAATCCTGCAGGCTTTGCATTCATTTCTCTGAGAGCACTTGGCATGCTGAATTGAAACTCCTTCTCTACTAAATGTCTCCTAAGGCTTTTCACTTTAGTAAAGTAGCGAGACACAGCTGAAGTAACCCATGCAGCGCTTAAGCTGATAACCTCCAGACCTCCGAACAACAGAAGAGGCAACGGCACTCTTCATGCCTCTTTATCTCCTTGAGCCAAAGATGGCGCCCCGTAATGTTAATCTTTTCCAGCTAGGTGTGATATCACGATCGTGTCAATAGTGAAAGAAAGACTGCTTATAAAAAGAATCAAATTGTTTGGAGAAACTGCCTTGAGAGGAATTAGATTAAGGAGCAAGCACATACGGTTGGGAATGTTTACAATGAGAGGAGATAGAGACCCCGAAAGAGGGATATTGCTTGAATTATCCTTGACTGGCCAAATGAAATTAATTCGTTTTTATAGGTTTGAAATAGATTTTGCTTTATCTTTTCAAACAGTCCTGAGTTCAAACAGTCTGCAGAACAAAAACAGACCAGCATGATTTGAATGGGAACTGAAGAAATATTGTGAGGCATGCAACTGTCTTCGACGTAATTTGTTTAAAAAGAAATGGTAACTTAAAAGTTCACTTATTTCCACCAAAGTACTTAAAAACGATCAAAACAACAAGCTTGTACACCAACAGTCATGACAATAATGTACTGTGAAACCACACAGGAAGTTTTCTTGAGAATCGCACAGATTTCGTGCCATTATATTGTTCTGAACTGCGCAGATGCTCTGGCTAATTCTTCTGTGGTCCGTTGATTTAGGAATGTAACTTTCATAATGCCACCGTGGACAATTTAGGTGATTATCATTCCCATACAGCGAGACCAACATTGATTGAGGGGAATTACCATGGAGAAATGTCAAAAAAAGAAAGAGAAACAGTTGCTGTTATGAATTAAAAATCTGCTTTGTATTTCTTCATAGAGGAAACAGTTGATGTTATATAAACAGTAAGCAGGCAAATATTTCTGACCTGACACTGAGATTAACAAATGCTAGAAGCTTTATTTTGATTTAGATTTTGAAGAGGTTCTAAAACTTTCCTATAAACTGAACTAAAATGAGTTTACAGAGATAGTTCACCCAAACTTTCTTTCTTCCGTGGAACATAAAATATATTTTTAGAAATATCTCTGTTTTTGGCCAGTTTTGGGCCAAAAAATGGACGTCAATGGTAACCAAAACTGTTAGGCTACCAACACTCTTCAAAACATCTTTTATGTACCACTGAAGAAAGAATTAAATGATGATATAATTTTTATTTTTAGGTGAGCGTATCCCTTTAAAGATCCCTTTAGAGGCATAAATTAAGTCTATTTTTGTTATGTTATGTTACAAGGCATAATTATTTTACCTTGTGGCTATCATTCATACATAAATGATTTAAATCAAACATTTGAGAAAATACTGCAGATTTGTTTGATAATCCATAATAAGGCATGACATTAAAGGATAAAAGTAATCTAATCTAATTAGCAGTGCAAGTAAACAAACGCTCTCAGTAAATGTAAGTGAACCCTGAAAGTAGACACTCAAACAGCCAAATCTAGTGTCAGGATAAAACAAAACAATCATTTTGATTTTGGCTCCACAGCGCCTTTCACAAAATAAGGTCTGAGGTCGCTCCATGCAATGAAGTCATTTATCTAGCACATATTGCATACATCATGTACTATACTGCAGCTTTATCATCCGACCGAAGCCAAATGTGGTCTCATCAACATTTTTTATAAAACGCCTAGTTTCTCATTCTCATTAAAGAGCTTCATTTTAGTTTTTAGCATTGAGTATGTTATTTTAAGAATGTAAAATGATGTGCTAAACACTGTTATGTGTTATTCTTTTTTATGTGGGCCAATGTTGAGATTTCCACCTTTCTACATCAAATGTATAGGTGGGTTATCTTGATATAAAATTCAGAACTGTCATGCTCAATTATCACATGTGTCTTTTGGTTCTAGAAGCATCTAAAGTTAAAAAAAGGAAAACCATACTGTGTATGATTATGAAGGTCTAGGCACTAGGAGAAAGCTGTCAGTTAGTATGACAAGGACCCTCAGAAATTTTCAATCTGTAATTTTCAAGCCAATCACTTGAGCCATAAATGTCATGTGACTAATCATTCTAAAGCTGCAGGAAAATTATGTCATGAGTCATGACTCATGACAATGCTGAGGCCTGGGCTGATGGCTGATGGGATCACACATGCACAGTCCCAAATCCTTTACTAGTGACTGTCCTGCACTGTTACAAAAGACAGTTTGCAAGTTTTACACTTTAAAAATCCTGGTAAAATACCTACTTTAATATAATGAAAGATCTGTGTTTTAAATGTTGCTTTTCGTTTTTTTTATTCCATTAGAATATACAGCTTTTTTGAATGGCCGCCAATTGAGAAAGGTGTTTTTGCAGCCACATGGTGGAGATGTGACATTTACCAGCAGGAGCTAATGAGGCCAGGCTAACCAGCTACACTTTGACCCCTTAGATTTAGAATGGAGTCAAAAGTGTTAACTTTCACTCAGTCAATGCCGTATTTGATTAAGGCCACTAGACTCCTCTGAGAAACATTTTCAGAGGAACTATCGAATTCTGCAGAGCTATTTCATCTTGAATATAAGCTGACTGTCATGCAAAGCACCTTTACTGTTATACACGTTATAGTTGCGTGCTACCGCTGACAGATTCTCAGACTCCGAGTCTTAACGGGGCCAACTTTTCTACCGCTGCTGCAAGGATACTTCAACACTCTATCATTGAGTTTACATTAACAGGATGTAAAATAATTTCTGGAAAGCCTAGGTTTTCACTCATTTTCTGTTGAGGAGTTGTTTATTTGGTGTTGTAAGGGAATTTGGAGCTGTTCGGCACACATGTCCTCTGCTCGCTTTCATAAACACAACTCTTATCGCCGTCTGAACATACACACATGCTCGTTGTCACACATTTACACACTGTCCCTCTCACCAGCTCTGACTGCTTCGTCTTGCCCACAATGCAGTGCTTGGCCTCTGCGTATGAGGCAGCGGCAGCTTTCGTAGGGTCCAGGGGTAGCTCACCCCTCGCTCACATTGCTACCTGCACCCACAACTCTCCACCACCATGTCCTCATACTGTTTATAAACGACGTTATTCCCAGAGTCAATGTACAGGATGCTGATGGGACTGAGTTTAGAAGGAACGCAACAGCTTGGAGGGGTGGACTCTGGGTCCATGGAGTTCATGAGAGTCTGGATGATGGCGTGGTTGGTCGGTTCCAGGTGTGAGCGCAACGGGAAGTCACACAAACCCTCGCAGTGATAAGCTTCGTAATCTAGTGGCGCAATAATCCAGTCGTCCCAACCCAGTTCCTTGAAGTTCACGTGAAGCGGCTTCCGGCTGCAACGTGTTCTCCGTCTGCCACCTCCCTTTCCTCCACCGCCGCCTCCTGTAACAGGTCCTACACCAGGACGGCCTGCTAGTGCTGTCCGTCTCCTCCGCCGATGTCTTGGATGACTTTTAATATCATGCTCCCGTGCGGGAAATTTACGACTTTTCATGGCCTTTATCTTCTCACGGATCTCCCTAAAGAGGTTCTCCTTTTTCCGAGTTCGAGAAAAGGCCACCAGTAAGGCTCTTTCATGGGTCTGCTGATCCACGTGGCTCAGACCCAGCATGCTGGGATGCACGGCCTCGTTATTTGAATCCGAAACGGCTGATATGCTGAAACACAAGGGCCTGCTGCCTTCCACGGTCCTGTGCAACTTGAGGTGGGTCTTCACGCTTGCACCAACGTCAAACACATCCCATGTGGCTGAAGCGGTATCTAGAAGATCAATGGTCCTGGAGGTGAGGAGAAGAGATTGGTGAGAGGATCCCGGGAGGGAGCAGGTGCCAAGGAGAAGTCGGTACAGGTTCCCACCACGGGAGATTAAACTTAAGACGTCAGGCGGTGGCCTCCTCAGAACCCGCAGCTCCACCTCCATCAGTTCGTCCAGTCGTGAGAGACCAGACAGGTCGAATGTGTACTGCTGATGGAACTTCAGGGAAAGCTCATCTGAAGGTGTAAGGGAAAGAATGGGTTAGCATTGAAATAGGACGTTTTTGAATTTTAAGAATGAATGCAGCAAGCTTACAAGAGGCAAACACTGATGCGTTTCCTCACCTTACTATGAACAATCTTACATATGGCTTTTGTGAAAATGGCATACACAAATTGTCATTCCATCTACTCAATAAGAATAACATTCAAGGGCCTGAATGACTTCTCCAAACACGAGGTGCAGCATGCTCACGGAGACCAGGTGGAGAGCATTTGGCTGACCTGTCAGACTGTGAAGGCCTTTGGCAGCGTCTGCTAATTACACTGATTGAGTGAGAAGAAGGTTTGGCAGGACATTGGAAATGCTCAGCTCTCAGAGAAGATGTCAGCTTCCCCTATATGTCCTCAGGAGGATGTAGTAAATTTGAAGGGTGGGTGGCTTAAGGGTGTAATTAAATGTTAGGTAACATTTCAAGCCGAGGTGGACCTCAGTTTTCTGTGGCCACCATGAACTGGTCTTTCATTATTCGCACAGCTAACTTCGCTGCAACAAAATCTCTGTCTGCAAGATGTTGTCCTCTCTTTTTCTTTGTCTGGAGAAAGAAATTGGCTAAAAGAACTCATCCAATACTCAGTCTCTCATCCGTGACTGAGATGATGCAGAACCAACCTTTGCTAAGAGAGACCAGACTTTGCGTTTAGAGTAAAACAAGCTTCGATGTTGACATCTTGACATACAGTTCAAATATGGAACCCAGAGTACCATGCAACCTGATACAGAGACCGCAGTTTCATGGGTTAAACATGAAGAGGATTCTTCCAATATGAGGTGGCTGCACAAAGGCCAGATCGGGACATATATTGATGCTACACTATGAGAGAGACCTTCAGAATGGTAATTGCAAACTGTTACATGAGTGCAAGGAGCATGCAAAAGAGGTGTTTTGAAAGAAAAGCACTATACATCTCCTCTCTGAGACAAAGGAATGCTATAAAAAAAGAAAGAAAGGTGAACAGAGTGGAGGGGTGTAGAGTAAAGCATCTTCCTCTAAGCTAATATCCGCTTGCCAGACTAAACAATGACATAACCTAGAAAATGAGCTGAGGCAGTCAGGGACTCAAGTTCCAGTCAAGTACCTTGGGGTCTACAAATATTGTCTGAATTTCTTAAAGTGTATGGCTTCAGACAGTGCACAGTCATATTTTGGTTATAACTTTAATACTTTTTTTTTTCATACATTGGATAAATATAAATAATTTTGTTTAGAATCTTTTTTTTTTTTCTTGAACATTTATTGGCATAATTTATGATGGGAACAGGTGGGACAATCTTCACAAAGAAGCATGCTACACTCCCAGGCCAGATTTGAAACAGAAACTCCACATATTCATAACAAGCCACCTACCATTGAATCAACAATTCACTGCTGATGATTAGAGCTGGTCTATGCATGTATACACATTACACACCAACACAATTATGGGCCCAAAAGCATCAGATGTATATGTGAAGGTATAATTTAAATACGGTACAAGTTAATTTTAGCACTTAAATTTGTCAGTAAGAATAATTGCTGCTTTATATCACTGTGTAACTTAGTTTTATGTTGGCAAAAGTGCTATTTAAATTGTGGTTTAAATTACTTTTGGGCATTTCTGCCTAATTAATATTTACGATCCTTGCATTCGCCATTTAGTGACGTCATCTTCACCACGGTCCCCCACTATTTTTTTTTTTAAACAAAGTGACATCCATCGTTTTATTTTCTTTGTAAGAACTCAGAGAGATCGAATCAAATTTCTTGAGTCTCCATTTTTAACAAAATGTGTGAAAATATAAGGTGGAAATATTATGCTTGGAATTCATATAGGCTAATGCTAATTCTATTACCCTCAATGTGAATTAAACAAATGTGTCCACCCTCATTTGTCCACCCTTAAACAAATGTGACATTGGGCGCTTTTTTATTATTCAAAGGCTGTGGCCTCAAATGTAATAATGTATGAATGTCACTTCAATCCATCGAAAATTCAAGACCAGAACCTTTTTAACTTTATAGCTTAGGCTATATAGCCTACTTAAAAAAAAAGTGTTTTCACGCAAATCCCCATGTAGGCTATTTGGCCGGGCGGATAGTTGACACACTGCATTTAACAAATTATGTATTTTTACGTGACAATCTTTATTTGAACATAAGTTTTAAATTAAGATGTCTCTCTATCTTTATCAGCAACACCTGGAGGGGAGAACGCGTGCTTAGATAGCCTACTTTAACTCAAGGTGCTGCTGAAGTTTATGTGTCACAGATGGTGGAAATTTGAGACATTTGACTTCATATAATTTATTTTTTGGTATTTTATGTAGGCCTATTTCTAAAATATTATCGGTAAGTAGATGATCCTAAACAAAAAATTAAACTTGAGCTTCAAAAACATGGAATCACGCAGTCGCACAGCAATATGGAATCACCGTATAGTCTTTACTAAATTATTGTTCTTTTCGAGTTTAATTGCCAAAAGAAAAACAGTCTATTCGCGTAACTGTAGGCTACACGCGCAAAACTGCGCAGTTCCCTTATTAATGGCTAATGCATAAACCAAATATGATATGTTTAGTGCAATTTGTGGTTCGTAATTGGGCCTATAATTAATAGCTTAATTATTAGTATTGTTAATCGGCAACAAATTATTTGACTGATAATAATATAATCCAAAGCATCAGAGAATTTCAAGGCTATGCAATATCATGGGTGAAATAGGCCTTTCTTAATGTAGCCTAAAGACTCTCAGTCATAGTCACACCGAGATCAATCATCTTACAGTGTGAGCTGTTATTTATAAGCTACGCCATGATATTAAGTGAGTTATTACGGCAGCATGTATACCTTAGGCCTATACAATTTATTACAATTAATGATTTTATGTGCTAAGTATAATATATCAAAATAAACAGATCATGCAGGCTCAATCTGAAAGGTATGAAATCCGCACTGATGGCCGGAATGAGATCATTTTACAAACCCATCTATCTATCTGTCAATCTCACTCACCTTGTCCCAGGTCCATGAAGCTGGTCACTGTGTTGGCATATCTTCTGGTGCGCGTCTGGCTGCCGTTGCCTCCTCGTCGGTCCAGTTCCGATAAAGTCCTGTACAGAGAGATCATGTAAGACGGAACATGAACAGATGTGGAGCTCGTGCTGTCTTCAGCAGGACCGCGCGCATCCAGATGTGAGTGAAGCCCGTTATCAGAGGGGTACTGCACCGATCCCAGCACCACTGCCTCAATAATATTCCCAAAGCAAAAGGAAAACCATAGGAAGGGAGCGGCAGTCTTCTTGGGAGTCATTTTCAGTGGTCTCTGGCCGAAAATGGCAAAGTTGGATGGACTTGATGACTTTGGAAACTCCCCTTTGCTCTTTAGAAAGTGTTAATATCTTGAATGTGAGTAACACGGAATGCCTGTTGCTTGGTACTCAAAGAGCGCCCCCCGTTGGAAAGATATTTTGTGTTTTCAAATCCCCAACAATATTCTCAGAGGACTAATATTACAGCTAGTTAGAATGCCAATTTTATATCAATAAATTGTGCTAAACCGAATGAGCTTTACTAATAATAAACAATGAAAGGTTTCCTGTCCACTTATTCTGCTTTGCTAGGAATTTTCTTAGTAGCCAATTATAGGCTAGGTCTATTGTTTTTTATGACATTGACAAATAATCTTCTTCTAAATAATAATAATAATAACATAAATAGACGTATTGGAGGTCAATAATACCATTTTAATTAGAAATTGTTGCTTTTCATGCTACATCTTTTGCGCAATCGTCCCCCATTTAATGCGCGCGCACTGCCATCTACAGTTGAAAAGACCCATGCTATACGTTTATGCGAAGTTTAAATCGCAATACAGTATAGCCTACTTTAAAATACAAACCATATCATTCCTTTTCACTATGCAGAAACTCAGTTTGGTGTAGGCTACAAATGGAGTTAGGGGAGATTGAGGCTAGTTGCCTCACATCTTACTCCAGGTAATAATTCTCAGTGTAGTTTTCTTTTTGAAAGTGAACCTCTGTATAAACACCAAAAAATATCAAATAATTGTTTTGGACAAAAATACAACCTACGAAAAGATTACTATAAAGCTACTAAAGACATGCACTGTGATATATGATTTTCCCAATAGTGAATGCATTGGGATTTAGATCTGTTTCTTTCTTAATGCTATCCATTTTTCTACTATTTTACACCTTGTCAACATACAAAAAATAAAAGACTATCATATGCATAATCAGTCAAGTGTATGCTTATTTTCACTTGCCACTTACTGGAATCAAAGAGGGAACATAACCATCCATTATAATTTTATCACAGCTATGCTCAAGTTCTTAAACCGGAAATTTCAAAATGTCCAGCCTAAAATGTGGCATACCATGGAGATTCAACCTTGGATCACAATGTTGAGGTAAAGCATATGTCCAATGGCACTACCCAAACACTTAATTTATATAACTTTACACTGCTGTACTGGGCCTAAAATACTGTAGATCATTCTTTTTTTGCCAGGAAGTACAATTATCCTGCTTCCTTTCTGACCTCATCCATGTCTGCCATACTAATAACTAATGTTCAGTAGAGACAGCAAACTAAACACATTCTAGTAGCCAAATGAACATTTATTAAGATCATGGTATGAGGTGTGTCGTCTTCATTCTGCATTTTGCACTCTTTGAAATCTAACTTCCAATGACTGCTCAGTCAGATCCATCAGATAAACAGATGCCATTCCATTAGTAAGTATGCTATCAGAAAGAGTTGGACTGGAAAGTATCTTAGTGACAAAAAACCCTTATTCTTACCACTCAAAACAATGTAATATAGTACGTACAATACAGTATTTTTACACTCAACCATTTCTTGACTTTTGATTAATTGTTCTGAAATAGTTCACAGGGCCTAGACACCAGTTACAGATCTTTTGTCATTTACAGTATTTCATTTAAGCTGACAATTTTTTTCTGTGTAAATGTGTATTTTTATAAGAAGGAATGGACATGCTACAATGAGTAAACAGTGCAATTGTAAAGCTCAAAACATCTAACTAAATGTCCCCATGATTAGGCTATATATTTTAGTTGTTATATGTATATATTAAAGATTATTGCCTTTTCCCTATGACACACACACTGAGTAGAGAGGATCATTATCTCCTCAAAACTAAATAAACTTACATCAACTAACAATAAAGTAGGCTATTTTATATCTCAATTATGTGTTTGCAGTGTCAGAAATTAACATCTATGGGCAATATATATATATATATTACAAATACAAACAAACAAACATATGGGTGTTCATAAAATATATTTTATTCATAAATATATATACTTATAAATATTTAATGAGTGTTACTCACAAAATACAAATATTCAAATTAATATCAGTCAAAATTAATCGGTATTTTCTTTTTCTTTTTTAACGGACATTTAAACTCAACTCGAATGTCGAGGTCTGAACTGACAAGAAAATCAGGCAAAAAATACGTTACAACTATTTTGGCCGGAAATAATTTGGCTGGTTTACCGTAATTTTTGTACAGACGTCAAAGTATAACTTGATAAAAAAAGCCTTTAAAAATGTGCGCATAAAAATAACCTATATACACTGTTACCTGTAGTATAAGATCGTTACGAAAACTAAGACTTCCTCTGCATTTCTTACAAGTTTTCATTTGCAGACATTTACAGCCATAGACAGTAAAGCTTACAGCACATTAACTTCCTCAATCAAAATAAAAGATCAGCTGATGCATGGTCACGTGACCATCACATGATTAGTACACTCGGTCACAGGCATTGGTGTTGTGGTCTTTTTCAGAATCAGATATCAAGGTGCATGAACGCGAAAACAATGCGGTGAGTACTTTGTTGTTTACCAAACGTTATCTTACAGTAGTCATAGTTTATTGATCGTATTTTGCAAAAGACTGTTTGTAAGTCTCACAGACTATGGTTCACCTCACGAGGTCAGATGGCCAGGACAAACGTGTTAACGTTACCTTCCTTGTGTACTGTTGGTTTGCTGTCTAATGCTAATTGTTTAAGTTGACTATTGGAGTTAAAAAGACGAAAGTCAGTCAAAGTAAGCTTGCTCTTGTGCGTTTACCATAAAATAATTGAATGTCCATCAGAGTGGGTTCTTAAAGTGACAGTGTTCTATTTTTACAGGATTGCTGTTTTTGTCCTGAGCTTAATTTGGCTGGTCAGCGGGGAGCTGCTTGAGGCTGACCAAGATGCTTCGTAAGTCCAAACTATGAATTATATTGGTCACTTTATGTGACTTTAAGTGATCGATGCAATTTCCACATATGGCTTTACACTAAACAGGCCTTTAACAATAGCTATGTTGCATCCACTTATTTTCATGCGCATTTTGGGATATCATTCGACAACGTAGATGGAGATGCAAAGATGGACAAATTCTAAAAATGCGCTTTAAAAATGTATGCGCTCAATTGAGGCGGATAAAAGTTTTTTTATCCAATTAGAAGATATGCATAAATTATGATGAAAACACATTTACAGTTTAAATACCTCAATGTGCAACAAAAAAACTCATATGACTCAACAGTGGATGTGATTGGATAACTGGACTAACCAGCAGACCAATTTCATCTCAAATGTTGGTTTGGTCATCCTGAAATGCCTGAGCCAAAGTCTGTCATCAGAATGATTTGGTTTAATTCCCTTCCAGAAGCATCTCACATGATTGTGTTCCCAAAAACCAGCATCCGAATGCAAGATAGCATGACAGCGTTTATTGCGTTTAGTTCGAAGCGTTCTGTGGCTTCCCCGATTACAGCAACTTCCATTTGTATTACAGATATTTTTGCGCCAATTTCCCAGGAATTGATGATTTTGTTCTCTTTCTTGAACACATGGGATGAAAATGGTGCTTTATTTGCAAATATTTTATGCGATATTCCAATTTTCACATAAGTTAAATTCACAAGTTGGATGGAAACATAGCTAATGTTATTCCCAATGTTTTAGTGTGCCTGAGGACTGGATTCTAGTTGAACGGGTTGGACCTTTGGAGGAAGTGGAACTTACGTTTGCACTGAAGCAGCAGAATGTTAACCAGATGGAAGAGTTACTGAAACTAGTGTCGGACCCAGATTCACAACAATATGGTATTGAGCCTCTCATTTTATATAATCAAAAATGATGAAATAAAGAAATCAGTTCTCATTTTCTCATTTATATTTTAGGGAAGTATCTGAGTTTGGAAGAAGTTGCTGCTCTTGTACAGCCATCTCAGCTGACCGAGAAAGTAGTGCACAATTGGCTCCAGAGTCATGGGGTCAAAAACTGTGACACAGTTGTAACACGGGACTTTCTTCAGTGTGTCATGACTGTACAGTAAGGACAATTTGTGTGAACTTTACCATATGCATAGAATTTGTTTTAGAAAAATAGTCTTCAAAAAAGAAAAAGTTCTTTAGAAATTTAAAAAAAAAAAATCTAGTTTGTTGTTCTGCTTTTATATAAAGCATGGTCCAGTTCTCCCATATATTAACTTTTGATCTCTCATCTTCTTTCTATCCTTGTCAGGGTGGCTGAAGCATTACTCCCCGGCTCTAAATTTCACCGCTACAGAAGAGATTCACACACTCTGTTGAGGTCAACATCTCTATACTCAGTTCATGAAGATGTGCATCAGCATCTAGACTTTGGTGAGCAGCTGACACCATTCATCTCCATCTTCAATCCCGTAAGCCTACTGTATCCTATTTGATACATGAATTTCTAAGGCCTCTAAATTATGAACATTCTTAAAACAAAAATCTTATTTGCATGCCCTCTGATTGTTTATAAAAGGCCTTGATGTCCACCTTTAGGTTGTGGTACACATCTTTTTGATGCAAAATCCTTAATGATTTTTTATTTTTATTAATATTTCAACATAAACATTTACGGTACTAAAGCAACTTAGTTTTACTTTATTATCTATACTTGTTTAGAAAAATCATGTCAATGTATCTATCAAATAAGGCTTTTGTTTTTTTTAGGAAAGTTTATTTGTACATTTCTTAGTGATCGTTGTATTGCATTGCATTAAGCATTTAAAATGAAGCATTTAAAATATCATCTTACTAAGACATTTTTAGGAGATATAGAGTGACAACTGATATGTATATGTAATTTTTGTAAGTAGTATGCTGTATTGAAAAGCTATCAGAATTGCAATTTATGTTTTAGTTATAAAAAAATCAGCTACTGCACCAAATTACATAATTTTTGGTCAGTTTGGGCTTAATTCACCTGATTTGTGAATTATGCTACAAAACATAAAACACGTTGCAAACTTTTTTTTAAATTTAGATTTTGTTTGTGATAATTTGTCTAAAGGTTCAGTAAACTGTTTAATTGATTGAAATAATAATACCCCCCCCCCCCCCCCCCAGTATTATTTAATATGTCCGGCTTTATGAGGTTAAGGACAATAATATTCTGCATTCAACAATACTACATTCTGTTTTTCAGTATTATTTAGTATTATTTTCATGCATTATTTTATCCTAATAAACATGCTGGTATCAATGTTCTTAATGGAAGATCTTTGAAGTAATCACTCTCAAAACCATGAATGAAGCCTATTTTTGATGTCTTTTTAGTGGGTGGTGTTCACCGTTTTCCACCAAAAGGAAAGGAGATCAGTAAAGGCTGGGAAGGAGCAAGACAGTCAGCATTAAGCTATCACTTGGGTGTCACCCCCTCAGTCCTTAGGAGTCGTTACAACCTTACTGCAAAAGATGTGGGCACTGCCACTAACAACAGTCAGGCAGTGGCACAGGTACACCTCATATTTATTGTGGAGATTTCACTGAAAATGTTCATTTCATCATTTGAATAGTATTCTGGTATGTTTTTCTTGGTTGTGCCAAATATCTCCACTAACTTGAGACTGTAAACTGGTTAGTTCTTGGAGCAGTACTACCACCCCGCTGACTTGGCTGAGTTTATGAGTCTTTTTGCGGGAGGATTCACGCACATGTCAGCTGTAGAGCGGGTCGTGGGTACTCAGGGCGGTGGGAAAGCTGGCATTGAGGCCAGTCTGGATGTGGAGTACATCATGAGCAGTGGGGCAAACATTTCTACATGGGTCTTCACAAATCCAGGTATGTGACTTATTTCAGTTTCCATCAACGTTTATTTTAACAAAACAGTTTTTTAATGGTTTCAGTTTAAGTTAAAGGTTCACTATGTAACTTTTTTTGTTCAATAATTATATAATGAGCATGAATCCATGTTCCAAACCGGGTTTTCGTCGAATCACTACGGTACACCTATAATAAGTGTTTATTTTTGGACTATTTTAGACCTTTCGAGGTGACAAAAGCTGTGGAGTAGTCCAGTACCTGTGTGAGAGAGGTAGCTCCGGCTACAATGTCCCTCCTCAAGATGCATGCAGTTTTGTTTATTAACCGCTAGAGCGCCAAAAGTTACATAGTGTAACTTTAGCTAGAATCATTTAGATTCATGACCATAATTTGCCTTAGTTTAGCTTGCAGTTTCGTCAGCATGAAACGGAAGTTGCGATCGGCTTTTCTTCCCTGTTGTGATGTATATCCGATGAAATGGCTTCTCAAACAAGAAAAAATGTTGGGTGAGACCTGATTTTGTCCATCGGGAATTACTTGGATTATTGGATGGTTGTGGTTTGCAATTGCTGTTATCTCATGTGAGTGACTGGATGTCCCGCCTTTGCGCCAGTAAACACGTCATCAGAAAAAAGATGTCGCTTCAAGAGGGAGGGGAAGTTGTTATGATTAAAGATAAGGAGGGCACTTAGATTGAAAAAAAAATATGGACATGGATAAATAATTTATAATAAATTGACAAGAATTGTCAATTTTGACCTTATGGTGACGGTTATCTCCTCAACTGTTCTAATTTTAGGTGGTCTGTTTCTGGTTTCATGCATTGTAAATATCACTTCATCATGGTCTCTGTTACAGGTCGTCATGAGACTCAGGAGCCGTTCCTTCAGTGGATGCTGCTGCTCAGCAACATGTCTGCGGTGCCTTGGGTCCACACCATCAGCTATGGAGATGATGAGGACAGTCTTTCTGATGCCTATATGAACCGCATCAACAATGAGTTCATGAAGATTGGCCTCAGAGGGATATCTATGCTCTTTGCTTCCGGTAAGATAACTAAAGTCAAGTTGAAATATGATCAACTGTTGGTTGCATGATCTGCTAGTTCTGTATTTTTTTTCTCATTTGTATAAGATATCAATGAAAGCCACACTCATAAATTAGATCTTTGTGTTTTAATTCAGGTGACAGTGGAGCGGGCTGTAGACACTTGACCAAGGAAAGAAATACTTTCAGGCCGAGTTTCCCTGCATCCAGGTAGACATAGCTCTCTAGATAATCTGTATAGTACTGATATCTTTTATATTGAAAGTAGTTGATGAATCTCTTCCCTATCTAGTCCCTATGTGACCACTGTGGGTGGGACTTCTTTCAAGAACCCCTACAAACTCAGCTATGAGATTACAGATTATATCAGTGGAGGTGGCTTCAGTAACGTGTTTGCAATGCCAGATTATCAGGTAAAGGTCCACAAATCTGTATCATTCGCTATGTTCCGAATAGAAAACGATCTTGTTGCTCAATGAAAAAAGCTCAGAATTTGCTGTATGTGGTCTATTTTTTTAAGTACTTGAAATAGGGGCTATTTCCTGTTTTAAACATTTGTATGAGATCATTATTGTCACATGGAGTCACAGTTGTTGTCTCATGACCCTACGTTGTATGTTTAAGTCACCAACTGGTGTGCAGTTATCATCTTTTGAATACACAATATTGTTTCAGAGCAGCTTTACAGTAAATGCTTGTTTCAATGTTACAATTTGTATTCTGTTATCAGTTAGAGATGAGTGTGTCAAAGTAATGCCCATATGGCAGTAAAATACAGCTATAATATGTTATGTGAAAGTAAACATCATTTATTCAGTTAAGCAGAGACAGTGGAGTTGGGAAGCAATTACAAATTGTGCTCGTAATGATTAAAATATAAGGATAGTATATGATAGTTTTGGTTGTTGATCCAAAGTTGTTGTCATCTGAAGTCTTTGTAAATTTTGGCGTTGACTGAAATCATCATCAAGGCTGGATCCACAATGGAGCTGGTACACTTTAGTTAGCTCGGGATTGTTAGCTTCTTTTTCACACGTCACACTGGGAAGGAAAAGCCTTTGCACTGTGGGATTCTGTATTCTAGGTAGTGCTGAATTTTTCCTTACAAACAGTGTTTTGTGTTTTGTTTTCTCTATAGGTCGGTGCTGTAGGAATGTATTTGAAGAGTGTTCAGCCTCTACCTCCTCAGACATATTTCAACACCACTGGAAGAGCCTACCCAGACTTAGCAGCGCTGTCTGACAACTACTGGGTTGTCACCAACCGTGTGCCTGTACCATGGGTTTCTGGAACTTCGGTTAGTAAATAATACATTTTACGTTTACAAGTGCACTTGTGATATTACAGTTTTGCTCATATTTATTTTAATACAGTGAACAGTAAAACTGCAGTGTATCATACTAAGATTTTATTTTGATTAAAAAACAATGGACTATACCTTTTCAAAGGTTTGGGGTCAGCTAGATTTAAAAAAGGAAAGAAATTGATACTTTTATTCAGCAAGGATATACATATTGATCATAAATATTGATCAAAAGTGACAGAGAAAACATCTGTAAATGTATAAATGTCTTTAATTTCAAATAAATAGTTATTGTGAACTTTCTATTCATCAAAGAATCCTAAAAAAATGTATCATGGTTTCCATAAAAATATTAAACCGCACATGTTTTCAATGTTAAGAAATGATAGGATGTGACAATTAAGACTGTAGTAATGTCTTTTCATAAATGAATTGCATTTCAAATAATATTGTAAAATATTATTACCATTTATCAATAACCTTAATCTTTTTTTTTTGTTTGTTTAAATAAATGCAGGCTGGGTGAGCATAACGTAAAAAAAATTTTTACGACCCCAAACCTTTGAACAGTAGTGTGCAGCAGAAAATGCAAGAACAATGTGCAATATGAAGTAACTTAATTTCACTCTACAGTAGCCAGTAAAACTCTGATGTTTTGTAATCTGGATGTTTTTCCAAGGCATCAACTCCAGTAGTGGGTGGAATTCTCTCCCTAATAAATGACCAGCGCTTCCTAAAGGGCCTTCCTTCCTTAGGATTCATCAACCCTCGCCTTTACAAACTGCAAGGCAAAGGTCTTTATGATGTAAGTTTTCTAAACTTGTTTTTTTCGCTGACACAATAGTCACTCTCTTAGTCCTCCTGTCCCCCTGTATTCAGCTCAGTTCTGTCTTGTAGTAGGAGTCTCAGAACTGAACTCCAACCATGCCCATATTTACAGTGACAATGAAGTTATGGTTTAAAGTATAGCACTGTCCCACATTCATAATTGAAATGATCATTAAAGGCACTGTAGCACACTTTTCAAATACAACAAATTGAGCTTGTGTAACTAGGTGTCACAGTTAATGCATTTAGTTCCCCTGCTCTAGTAACCACATCCTCTCAGCAAATTGTTGATGTCTTCTCTTCTGCTCTTAGGTGACAGAGGGATGTCATCTGAGTTGTCTGGATGATAAAGTTGAAGGGAAAGGTTTCTGTGCCTCTCCTTCATGGGATCCAGTAACGGGATGGGGAACACCCAATTATCCTGTTCTTCTTGCAGCTTTCATGGATTGAGCTGCTGCTGATTTTTTTATTCCGAGAAACACACCGATATTAGGTTTTTCATTATTTTTCTGAAGCATCTACATGACAATACATTGTATAATCATATCAAGATTTCATAGCTGTCCATCATCTAAGAATCATTCTCACAAAACAAAGTCGTTTCAATGTAAAATGAACCTTTTATGCCTGGTTGATTAACCCAGCTACCCTCCTTCTCCCTGTCCAACAGGTCATATCACTTCAGTTCTTTCAGATGGGGAAGATTTGTCTCAGATGAGTTAAGGATCTGTGGATTCCAGATATAGGACACAACCAAATGTTTAACAGGCCTCTTTGTTTTTAACAAAACAGTGTGACAGGAAAAATGTTTTATACCGATTGGATTTTAAGTGAAATATTCCTTAAATGTACATTTCCTCTCTATGAATGCCATTTCGTTTTAAAATGCAATTAAAACAGATCCTTTTTATCATAAACATTAGGATGTTTCAAGGTTTAAATGTAGCATGTAATGAAACCAGCCTAAATATGGAACATACTTGAGAGCTGCATAAACCAATGTCTTTTTTTTTTTAATGGGTTGATTTCAGTTATTGATGAGGTCCTCAGGGAATTAAATATTGAATAGATTTGTTGTTCTGGAACTACTAGGTCGTTGGAGAGAGTGAGTGTTTTTCTACCACACGTCTTGAGCACTGAATGTTGTTGGAGCAACCGGTTAAACTTGTTTTTTTGAAAGAAGCATTGACTCCAGGATTCCCTCTGAAAAGTACAAGAATATTTTTAAGACAATGATGTTTCTTTGCTGAAATAATACAAATTAAAGGTTTTATTTTAAAATGAATGCTACCTTTGTTGTGCTTAAAGTGTTGGATTTAAGTAGATTTAGATGCTGTTTAAAAACAAGAAAATATACATTTTTGAGAAGGAATTGCAATTGCTTGAACTGTATTGGAGTTGGTATTTTGAGTTGAGATTTCTGTTAACATCATTAGGTCAATTAGATAAGCTCACAAAATATACATGAAAAAAAAACCTTATATTTTGTTAAAAGTGCTGAGATTGTTTTTGACATTGTTAAAAGGCATGAAAACACAAGTTTAAAGGGTTAGTTCACCCAAAAATGAACATTCTGTCATTTACTCACCCTCATGTTGTTCCAAATCTGTAAGAGTTCCATTCATCTTCGTAACACAAATTAATGTTTTTAATTAAATCTTAAGAGATTTCTGTCCCTCCATTAACAGCTACGCAACTACCACTTTGATGCTTTAACGAATTCAGATTCCATATGAATTGAGCGGTTTAGTCCAAATTTTATGAAGAGACACAATGGCTTTATATGATGAACAGATTTAATTTAGGTTTTTATTCACAAAAGCATTCATCAATGTACACATCAGTTGTGGTAAACAGAAGGCGAGAACCAATGAGGTTAATTCTCGTGTGTTACTCAGCACGTTTGAGCTTGGGTTTGGAACAACATGAGGGTGAGTAAATGAGGACAGAATTTTCATTTTTGGTGAACCATCCCTTTAAGTCTATGTGAGATCAAATTTGGTCACAGATTAATTTAGTTCAATAAAATCATTTTTAGGTTTCTGCAAGTTTGTGATGCACTGCAAGTATTGATACTTGAGGTTGTTTAGGCAAAAGTAAGTCATCTTCATCGCTAATAGCACACTACTGCATATAAATATTTAAGCATACATGTGTAAATTAAATTTATACAGTTATAATTGAATATTGTGCATATTCTAGGTTGGGATGCTTTAACAACATTAGCTCAAAGTATGCAAAGTATTTTTTTTAAACAATATAATTTGAATAACAAAATATATTTACGGTTAGTTATATTTTAGGATTAAAACATATATATATATATAAAACATGTATATACAAAATAGATATTGTCAAATTTTATGTTCACTGCTGCTTGTTACTGTTGTCTACTAAAGGCAAAAATACTTTTTGACAATTACCATGAAGCAGACCCAATCACATTCAGGCAGTCATTTGTGAAATTAAATTAAAACAATCGTAAAAGCAAGGATTGTTCAGCTTTAACAATCAGTGGAGAGCATTTAGCGTACGACAGCATGATGATGAACTTCAGGCTCTTGACAACTACACAGGGGAGTTTAGCTTTATTCCATATCATCAAATAAATTAGAGAATTCAATGGAAAAGTGTCTTTTCACATACTGAGTAGATTGTTATCGTGTTACAAAAGAAGGCATGTGTATGTAGCAGTACTTCCTGAAGCTGAATAAAACTGTTTTAATTGGTTAAACACAATCTAATCAACATCTCTATTATCTACATGATTTCAAAACATTTATACATGTCAGGTATACAAAATGAGATACCTGCACAGGATACCTCACAAAGAAAAGCTGTATTTACATAAAAAAAAAAAAAAAAAGAAGCTGAATGCCAACTCATTCTCCTTAAAGAAAAGCATTCACAGGTTTTAAGTCTCAGGGACAACACACACACGCACACACACATATTATGACAGCTCTACGCTCTAAAAAGTGTACAATATGCACACTTTGAAGACATCTAAAAAGCAGTCCTTGTCTTTGCAAACTGGTAGAAACGGACACGCTGATGGACAATTTGCTTCTTTGGGCTCAGGATAATGAGCATCTTGTATGTGAATGAGGGTCCACAAAAACAATCACATCTTCAAAAGAAGAAACTCTCATAACCGGGAAGTTATTTAATTCAGGTCTATACCATGAGAAGGTTGACGGGATAGTTTGGTATCAGGTCCTCATTCACATTTCATTTCCCATCAAAATGTGCGCTGAGATTCTCTTAGAAAAGAATGGTTCTAGAAACGACATACAAAGTGGGTTTTGGAACAGGAAGCTGTTGTCAGACAATGTCTTTAGGGAACTTTCCTCAGCGAGCGATCTCACTGATTGTTCTTAGCTTTTGCGTGTGTCAAAATGTGAGACTTCAGGTTGGTGGACTGAGCAAATTTCTTGTTACAGCCATCAAACGGGCAAACATACGGTCTGTCTCCAGTGTGAATCCGCACGTGTGTGCGCAAGTTAAAGTCCAAAGAAAAGCGCTTTCCACATCCCTCAAAAGTACACTGTGGAGGGAAAGATAAAGCATTAGGATATTTATTAGTTAGATTTAACATTTTATTCAGTTCTACACTATTCTGAACAGCATCATCCAAAATGTTTTAATAATCTTACCTGGAAAGGTTTTTCACCAGTATGAACCAACTGATGCCGTTTTAGCTTGGAACTTTCCACAAACGCCTTCCCACATTCAGCGCAGACATGAACCCGCGGCCCATGGGTGTGCAAGTGCTTTCTCATAGCGGAGTTGTCCCGAAACATTTTTGTGCAACCCTATGATAAAGACAATGATGATAAACAACTAAACTCCTAAAAAAAATCAAGATGATAAAGTACAAAATAAAATCATCAATATATATTAAACAGTGATCCCATCTTGATGTTGAAGCACAATATCCTAAATCAGCACTTCTGTTACCGAAATGTAACAATTCTCATGAATGCTAAAAACAGGCACTCACTTTGTGGGGGCATGCTATCGTTCTTGGAGAGTCGTCTTCTTTTATTTTCCTGGGCTTCATTCTGTAAAGTGAAACATATTAAGGATAAGACACATTCGTGAGTGTGCTGTTTAATACACAAGTCAAAACAAAAACTAAAGGCAGCTGTGACCATAATATATATCTTTTTTTAAATCTAAAACAACTATGGACTGGCTTTGGAAATTAAACTTGTGATGACGGTTATTTGTTTTGTTTTTCCCTTCAAAATACTTACATAAAAATCAAATCAGTGCAACAATAACATACCGATTTATTTTCTGGACCAATCTGTTTTAAAATCTGCAAAAATAAAATTATCTCATGCTTAGGGCCTACTGTAAAACGTTATGCCATAAATGACTGCTACTTATCGTAATGCTCATAATGATGATTGACGAGGCTCCTCCTGAACCTATGTTTGGAACTTCATATAAAGTTTCAATCTTTTGGCTGAATACCCACCTTGCAAACTCTGCCAGCTGTTTGGGGTCTGACAAGTCGATTCCAGGTATGCCACCAGGTGGCAGTTTTTTGCCTGTCATATACTCGGAGTAATCAGGAGGAGAGTTTTCCCCAATGATCTGCTCCTCCACCACGGTCTCATGATCGACATCTTTCTTATCATCTGTGCAAAACACAAGATTAAACGTTTAGCTAAGTGCTTAATCAAATCACACACCCTGTATTCATAATGAACAAAGCGTTATAGCAAACAAAAACTAAATGCACTGAAGACAGTCAACACCCAAGGCATAAGTGATTTATCTTCAGGGTAAAACAAATGATCTCTTCGTGGTCTCCGAGAACCGATGCATAAGCAATTAATATGCTGATGTGATTATGGGCACTTTAAATTTCAGTCACGTATTCCGCATCCAAATATGGTAATTTTAAGAGAGTTTAGAAATGCAATGAAGTGCGCGTTTTAGGTCTTTTTCACTAGTGAAGCATTGCGTTATGCGAATGTTCCAAATAAACAGAGTAGACGCGTGAAGCGCATGCGCAGTCTGTGGTGGTTCACAATACACTCGTGAACGTATAAACAAAACCTGCACTCCACGCTCATTTTCTTTATTTAAATGTTCAAGTACTAAACACTTTTGGTCATTACAGACCAGACGCCCCTAAAACTACGCACGAAAGTGGAAAACTAAATAAACAAATGCACAACAATAACGAATATTGCTAATATTCAGCATCCAGTAGAACTGCTAAGCTCCAGAATAAATGGAGTAGTTTCTTCAGTATTTAAAAAGACACATTTTATTTAACCATTTCCAGTTCAAAGAGATTAAATTACATCTTTTCTGAATTTACACTGTCGTTAACCACCACAATTGCAATCGTCAGCCAAGATATCAAAATCGCAACAGCTACAAATACTTCTGTATTCTCCCAACTAAGTTACACAATTTGCTTTCCACCATAAATATTTTAATTTGTAATACTAATAATAAACACGCAGTATTTTAAACATTAAATAGCGTTTAAAATCAATGCGCAAAATGCATCTGTCTGTTAAATGTGTAACGTTACAAATGCTAATCACGTCTTACTAAACAGAATTATCGCTCCACGGCACAATAAACTGCTAAATGTATCTGAATTTGTCAGTTACAAGATTTAAATACGCGGTAACATTTGTTTATTGAGAGAATGAAGCGCCGTGAGACAGATATTTTGCAGACAAACAGCAGATCGTGTGACTAGGTCCCTCCCCTTCTTCAAAATGAGCTGCGCCATTGCGGCCTGCAGCAGCGCGGCGGACTCACAGCGCCTCTCTCCGCTCCCGCCGCCATCTTTCCCCGCTCACACAACCGCCATGTTTCGGGGCCGCCATAATGGTCTGGAGGAATATGGCGGCGCCCATCCACACTTAAAACATGGCTTCCCATCAAAACAAAAACATTTAGACCGGGGCCATCCTTACAAGTGGCTTTTTCGGTCTGAAAATCATTTCTGGCACTTAACTAACTGGCAGCTTTATAACGGGCTCGACAGGAAGAGGGCCCACACGAGGCCTGCGCGAGAACAAAGCACTTGATGTGATGTCAAAACTTACCCGATGCCCACATAGTGACGGAAAACTCCCCCTCCAGTGTTTTGATCTGCACTTGCTTCTGCTCCCATTTGCGTCCGCTCGCCTCGGCGGAGTTAAGGAAGCTCTTTTTGACCATTCTTTTCCCACTGCCTCCCCCTTTCTTCATCCTACCCGACGGGTTCTTGCCAGACACGGTCACTAAAGTCTGCTCGATATATTCCTCCTCTGCCACCGGAACAGGGACGGGAATGAGGATCTGGTCCTCGAAGCTGTCGTCTGCGTGGAGGTCTGAATCATCGCAGCCCACGACCTCCTCGCGAGTTTGGACCAAAATCACCTCCTGATGGTTGACGTGGTTCGGATCGTCTAGAGGCTGCAGAGCGATCATCGGCTGGTGCTCCTCGTCGTCGTCGTCGTCGTCTCCGCCGACCACTGTAGTCTCGATGGTCTCAACTTCGATTTCGTGCAGCTCGACGATCTCGGCCGGCATCTCCGAGCCGTCGGTTTCAATGTACAGTGTCTCACCCGACGCCATTCTTGCTCTCCGAACTGATTTCAAGCAAGCCCTGTGTCAAGTCAACGACCCGCTCTCCCCCTCCTTCTCCACTAACAAACAGGCAAAACTCCGTCCCACATTGACTGACTCCGTTCACGGACTCTGCTTGAGGATCAGACAAGCGAAATCTCGCGAGATCTTCTTCTTCGTTTGACCTCATTCTCACCACTAACACTAAACATTTGTAAATCATCCACGAGCGAGTTTTTAAATCTTCATTGACGCATCGTAAAGAGAAAAGTTGATAAACTGCATATCAAAAAATAAAAGAACTTTATCATGGGAAACGTTTCTGAAGTAATGATACGGAAACTTTTATTGAATAAGCAAATATAGCTATTTTGGATTGACAAAAAGGATTTTTCATTAAGTGAAACTATAGATTTAGGCTACAACTAGGTGGAAGTGTTACATAGCCTACCATAAGATGGAAATGAAGTGATATACTATAATAGCTACTAAGTTATATAGGCCTATTCCTTTTATACACACAACGAAATGGTCTGGATTCTGGAATACAAAATAGTTTCTTTTATTTTTATACATGATGACTTAGTTTAAACAATATAATGTTTTGTATGTTGTGTAATGTAAAAGCAAAAAATGTGATGAGAGCATGTAATGTTATTATTAGGTATTAATAGTGAAATGGTATTTTTTCTTTTGTTTTATACTCTGGGACCTTTTTTATTTTATGTTTTATTTATATATTTGCTGACATTATGTAATCAGTTATACTTTGTAAAATGTTATTCATAATCCAAGTGTATAGCCCATATGTATTTCTTCTTTTTTTTCTTTTTCGTTTCTCTTATTAGGCCTTATAATACATTACATGACACAAATATCACATTACATGCCTGCCATGTATGGAAAATTGTCTGTTATCCTCATGAGAACCAAGAACGTTTAGTGAATTTAAGACTCAGTTATTTAAAAAGAGATGAAATTACATGAATTGGCAAAAACATATTTTTTTCATTAACCAATCAATTTTTAGGTTTTTACCAAACTTTGTATAAAGATTATCTCAACTATGTTATGAAAGATATAATTGAATTAATTGATATTCCATTTTACCTTATGCAATATATGGGTAAAATGGCCATTATAATATAATATAATATTATAATTATTATTAATGTCTTAGTCATATTTAAATGTTCTTTCTATTCGTGTCATAGGCTATGTACGTATGTACCCAGATCTCCTGAAAAACCACAGCATTCCTTTTGTGTTTGCTCACACTTGGCTAATAAAGCTCATTTTGATTCTGATAAATGGGTAGTCCCATGCAATACATTGTATCTAATTTGCATATTAATGTGTTGGGGCAGCATATATCTAATAAAAAAAGAGGAGTACCCAATAATGGGAGTAATAATTGGCAAACAATTTGAAAATTTGTCAGATTTATATGATAATCACAAAATATTATCATATTTCCATAAGAGTGCTAAATTTGATCACTAAATTAATGTCAATCATTTTTAAAGACCGAGAGGGAGTTGTCATGTTGAAACCTCTAAACATTTGGAATCTCTGAAAAGCCCCGAATGTGCCCTTTACAGGAGATCCAGACTTAGGCATGCAGGGTGTCAGAGAAATTCACTAAAATATAACATTTACTACAGTGGACAAAAGTCGATTCATGGGTCCCAGGCAACAGTCTATGGTCCCAGGAGGCTGTTAAATGCTCCCTAGGCTATTTGAAGGAATAATAAAACAAATAAATAAATAACGCCCCCTCGCGGTAAGGTGACGTAAACCTGTCTAGACCAGAAATACAGGACTGTGACACTGACATCTGCTTAAGTATATTATAAAGAAGAAAAAAAGAAAAGAAAAAAAACACTTACACTATATAACACTATAGGTACATTACGTATATTGTCGCTCGTAGGTCTACATTTTAAATCACATTGCCAAACATTTCACAGACAACGGTTTTGCATCTGTGGCTAAATGTAATTTTCTTATTGGGACGAGGCAATCTGTATATGGGCTACTCTAGCCAACTATCTCGTTACTTCGTTAGGGTTTCGGTTGAAGTTAGTTACCGTTGGTATGAACTCTCAGGCACACCTCTACTCCTCTTATCTAAGAGGGCGTGTGCGAAACAAGTCTAGTAAGCGAGGAATCACCTGAGCTCATTACACCAGCCGGCAGCGGCACACAAGTGTGAAAATGGGGAAAACAGTTGGACGCTGGGACTTTGAATGGGTTTATAATGAGCAACCGCACACATGGAGAAGAAAAGAAATTTTAGGTAAGAGTAAATCAAATGACTGCAATATATGTACGTCAGCTGAATTCGCTAAAACATGCTGGAGAAGTCATGATTTTGGATATCCGATTGACTTGAATTGAGTTTAAATGTCTACGTAACCATGGGAGCGTGTTAAATTTTGTAATCCTGTTGTAGCCTAATATATCTTAGTGTTGGCAAAGATATAGGCTATATAGTTCAAATGAAGCACTCTATCTCATCATGAGTGCCATGGCATAACTCAAATCACTGATTATGGAATTCGGACAATTAAGATGACATTTTAAATTCTGATGCTTATCTTCTAATTTAAAATTCTAAAAAAGTATATTCAATATAGTAGGCCTACCCAATATGCCGCTGAGTGAGCGTGGGTTATAGATGTGTGAAGAGGGAGCGTATCTCTCTTTTTTTTATATTTTTTTTTATATACTCTGTCGACGTATGTTATGTATCCAAAATATAAACTCAACTCATTCTACTTGTAATTGAGATCAAGCGCACTTTGCCACATCTTCAGTTTAATGTGGTTAGGCTACACACAGGTGTAGACAGGTGAAACAGATGTGTTGTTCCTGGATCACATCTACCAGACAATGGCTTTAGGGGATGGTAATTTGAGTAAACCGATTCAAGGCATTATTGGCACAATATCAATGGGTCTTGCTTCGTCACAACATTCTAGTCTTATTTATGGCCATAACAGTTAAGATATGTCACAAGCTCAGTTCCCCTATAAAACACATTTATGAACAGCTTGGAGATTTCACCACAAAAATGACAAGATGGATGGCCAGAGTGGGTTTTTTTTCTTCTTTTTTAGACAGAAATAAAATGTGGAATTAAAAAATTGATGCTCTTTTGACAGACCTAATTGAATGTAAGAACTTCCCCTTTACTGCAATTCTCCATCAATATCCCCCCAAAAACACGTCTTGATATTGACTGATATTGTGAAGTCGCACAGGTAGTTTTACACCTCAAGCTCTTTAAACATTTATAGTGCATTCTTCTATCATCTTTAGACTATTTCAGAAGGGATGATGACTCTGGTACTACAAACTTATATTAATATTTGATATATTTTGAGTAACAGGAAATGCATATATATATATATTATAAAATCATTTATAATATTGTATACAGTGAATATAATTTACTATAAATTATTTTATACAATATATTTAAGTAACAGAAAAACTTGGTGTTAAAAATGATTGGTGTCAGTGCAATCCAAATCACTTATCACAATTATTCTTGTTTTGCTAAAAGACCAGTCATTTTTTACGCCAAAACATCACCTTGGATTTTTTTTAAGCATCTGGCAGTTGAGTTTGTGGTACTTTTATTTACACGCTTTATGGCATTTAACTACTCATTACACGGAAGAACTTGTCCAATGTTCAGAACACTGGATGCAGGTTGTATTACATAGGCTTAATTTAAATATGGCAAGCTGAACCTGTTTGTGTGTTTACGTGACAATAAGCCACGACAGGTGTGACCTTGATCTACAAGTATAGGGAAAAGTGCATCCATGAAACCGCATGTGTCCAGCCACAGCTGCTTGTTTTGTGAGCGCCCTTTGTTTGACATATGTAAAGAAAACAAATACACAGATAATTTATCATATGGAACCGAAACAATTTTTTATTATGACTGAGGGGCCCATTTTCACTGATTGTAGCAGTATTAGCCTAGATGAAAAAACTAAATATGATTAATATGTTACCATTCACAAGCATAAACCATTAGAAAACCTAGCAATATGGAACGTTTGCAATCAGATATTATGCAAATTGCATGCAGAAAAAGTGTTATGGCAGATTTGCATGCAGGTCGCATGTTATTGGTGAAACTGGTCACTTTGACATGGATATTTGTGGATTAGAGATCCTCCAGCAGTGGATGATAAACAGAACATTAGAAGGGCAAACAAATTAAAAAAGGACACCGTTAGGGGAGCGTCTCCCATGTGGGGAGAATTAGTTATTGGTTGACTACGCAAAAATAGTGTTTCAACATGTTTAATTGGGTTACCACTACCAACCGTAATAAAGTTGTCATCATTTTTGCAAAGCTAACTATAAATAACATGTACTTTTTATTTGAGATGTTTGTTAAAATTGAGTTAAGATGTTATTTAAAAAATAATCCGCTTCAAGTGTGATGCAAGCAAAACTATTTTGAGTGTTCATTTAATGAGGCTTAATTTCAAGTACAATCTTTCTTTAATGGAAGAACACATCCTTGAACATGAATAAGACTTCAATAAAGATCTAAAATAATCCCTGTAACAAGAAACGCATTTAATGAGCTCAAGCAACAGTTTATATCTTTTGAAGGTTTTTTTTTAAATATAGCTGTCAATATAGGAACTATAATGGAAAAGGTTGTTGCTTGTGATTTTTTTTATTTTCCCCCACTCAGATCAAACAAGGCACTGGTAGTTTTGTCTCTCATATCACTCTGGGGTCTCTTTCTGCTCGCATTATAAAACAATTTCCCTCCAAGTCTTTTTATATGTGCATGTGTAAAATTTGTATGTGTGTATATATATATATATATATATATATATATATATATATATATATATATATATATATATATATATATATATATATATATATATATACACACACACACACACACACACACACACACACACACACACACACACACACACACACATAAATACATGTGTATATATATGTGTGTGTGTGTGCGTGGTTGTATGTATATAAATAAAAAATATTGATCAAAAATAGTTTTTTTCCTATTCAAACAAATTATTTCATATTCTTGACATTGTACTCTCTCTACAGCAAAGTATCCTGAAATCAAGTCTTTGATGGGTCATGACCCCCAGCTGAAGTGGGTCGTGTCAGGGATGGTGCTGACCCAGCTGCTGGCATGTTACATGGTCCACGAGCTCTCCTGGAAGTGGGTGTTGTTTTGGGCGTATGCGTTCGGTGGCTGCATCAACCACTCTCTGACCCTAGCCATCCATGACATTTCACACAACGTGGCCTTCGGCACTAAAAAGGCTCGCTGGAACCGCTGGTTTGCCATGTTCGCCAATCTCCCCATTGGCTTGCCTTACTCGGCATCCTTCAAGAAGTACCACATCGACCACCACCGTTATCTGGGAGGAGATGGCTTGGACGTGGATATTCCGACCGACCTTGAGGGCTGGTTCTTCTGCACCCCAGCCAGGAAGGTGCTCTGGCTCTTTCTCCAGCCTTTGTTCTACGCGCTCCGTCCGTTGATCGTGAACCCCAAGCCCGTGACCAGGTTAGAGATGCTGAATGCAGTCGTGCAGTTTGTGGTAGACATTATCATCTACTATTTTTGGGGACTCAAGCCTATAGTCTATCTAATTGCTGGCTCTATACTGTGCATGGGCCTGCATCCCATCTCTGGACATTTCATCGCTGAGCACTACATGTTTATGAAAGGTCATGAAACCTACTCTTATTACGGCCCTCTCAACTTAATAACCTTCAATGTGGGATACCATATGGAGCACCATGACTTCCCCAGCATTCCTGGCAGCAAATTACCTGAGGTACGAGTTTGGCTGTATTCCATTGTTTTTAGGGATGCACAATATTAAAATAAAATAAGTCGCTTTTACACACCACAAGTGAATTAAGGCATCACAACATTATTATGTACACTGTGAAAATTAATATTAACTCAATCATTCATGAATGCTCAATGAATATTAATTTAGTGTTTTAAAGATGAAGGTTAGGTGATGGCAAAGGGGATCTAAATATAAAAAGAGAGGAAATGAGCAATTAACAATTCAATATCCAATACTGACTTATACAATGAAACGGAAAACATGGCAGTTTACAGTTACTGCCTTGGTTTTTCTCACTCATACAAGAGATTCTTTATCTATAAGTTCATAGATGTGGTCCACTATGACAATAAGCTGCCATTACCAGAAGGAGACCAGATTTGTAATTCTAAGTAAGTTTACTTTTCAGGGTAGTGCTCAAGTGGAAATGTCATGGTAATGTAATGCTTTGTATTGATTTAGTCACTGTTACTGATTAAGAGAAAGAATGTGACATTTGGTGTAGTGAGACTAACTAGAAAGACCGACAAATATTTGCTGAACTCTTTTTCAAGCTTCATCAGTGTCCATGAGACAATTTAATTGCGCTCATAGCTTACAGACATCACACTTTCAGTGAAAAAGAACCCAAAGTCTGTAAACCGATTGCTAATGCAGTACATTGTGTCTGTTAATGTTTAAACCGTTAAGTATGATAGAACTACATACAGGAAACCAGCGCTCCACCTACGCTTTACACTCTAGCTGCAATATTCTTCATTCACATTATGCATGTCATTCAAAACATAAACAGAAAATCCATAAGTAATATTTATTTATGATTTATTTATGGATCTTTCTCATTTTACAGGTCAAGAGGATTGCAGCAGAGTACTATGACTCTCTCCCTCAACACACTTCCTGGATGCGAGTGCTCTGGGACTTTGTGTTCGATGATACCATCGGCCCCTACGCCAGAGTCAAGAGACAATTCAAACTTGGCAAAAAGGAATAAATTTGGTATTAGACTACTGATCTAACCAAATGTATTTATAAAACGTTCTACACAAATCTGCAAATGAAAGATAATTGGCACTAGCCAGGCTATTAGTTGAACAGGAACAAACCTTTTCACACAAGAACCGGCAAACTTCTTCATTCTGTTACAGCATTTCATCATATACGTAGATCCATCTGAACAATATCCGAACTAAAACTTCACATTCCCTGCACCTGGGACCATGTTAAATTATTAGGAGTATCAAAGCCCAGTTGACCTTCTCAAAATATTTCCATGCATCCATTCCTACCAAAGATGTGAAACTTTGTTTTAGGTCTAAAATTGTTCTTATGGTATACATGTAACAAAAGGAATGCATTTGTTTGTGTATCATTGCCAATAGTCACTCAACTCTATCCAAATACTGAGATGCCAGTTAAGATGTACCTGAGGAAAGAAGTGCTGAGATGAAATGTTTAAGCAGACTTCAAATGCTGTTTCATCAGTGAGGCCTTTTTGAAAACCAAATATATCATTGTGTTGTGTAACTTAAGTCTTTAAATAATATAGTTCTGTCGTTTGCACTGTGACAGTTTAACTCTGAACACCACTGTGATAAATATGTTATATATGGAATATATTTGTTCAGCACACTGTTCAATAAATTTCTCTTATATTTGAATCTAACAGATTTTGCAAGGTGGTTGTTGAATGTTCAATGAAAATGCAAGACATATTTTTTTTAATAGAAGCACAGGACAAGACTTTTTAAAAGGGGGAAAAGCTTTTAAAGTTCTTTTAATTCCATCAATCTCTCACTCTCACCATGTGAATAATTGAATTGTAATTTTTGTGAAATCAACATCAACTTTTAAAATCAGGATCAACCTAATTAAACCAGGATAACATTGTACGATCAAACAATTCTTCCAATAATTCATCTCACATTGTTTATATATGTATATTTTTCCATGTCCATCTCTTGAGCTCATTGAAAGAGTGTCAATATTTAACCTCATATCTCCAAATTAATTTAAAACAAAATTCTAGTGAACTTCTGGGGCCTCGTTTATAAAATGTTGCGTAGAAACCATCCTACATTTGATCTTACCATAATTTCTCAAATGTGCGTTCGTGTGATTCAGAGAAATAAACGTGCGTACGCCTCTCTTCCAGATGTGAAATCTATAAGTCGCAAAATGATCTTGAAATTGTGAGCAGCTGAATGTTTGTTTTTATAAATATGAACGCTGGCGTGGATTTTAGCGAACGCACACTTTAAGATCAAATCTGTGCGTACACACATTTTATAAATGAGGCTCCAGCATTGGCCAAAAAATTTTTTTAAAAAAAATGTCCCAGACTGTTTAACCTATAATAGTTTTCTGACAGTTTACTAGCACAAATGTGCGCACTTTGTACTTATTAAACCCAATGATTAAGAGCAGTAATATAAAATATAAAACGTTGACAATAACTGTCGTGCAACTTTGTATCTCTCTCATTTAATATAATACAATTCTTAACAATAATAACAATGACCGATGAAACAATATAAACTTAGAAAACAAAAAAATATCTTCATTAATTTCCAACGTGTTGACTTTAAGACTTGAAAGAGCGAGAGCAGCAAGCTGCACAGTGGACTGTCTCAACGTTCATACTGGAGGAAATAGAAAATTCAGTGTGAAGGTCTATATTTCCATCTGTCCGTTCATTCGCTCATCCATACACACACTCACTCACTCCAATTCCTTCTGTTCCTCAGCTTTCCCTTGTCCTTCTCAGTAATTCCTTGTTTCTGCACAACATTTCTGCAAATGAATTTTCCGTACCATTGCAGACATGCTGCGAGAACGTTTTCAAGTGCGCGTTCCTGTACTTCCCCGAACCTTCAGTCGTTATCAGTCGTCGTCATTGACATTTCATAAGACTATGTGGAGCCAATTCTCAGCAGTTCCCTTCTAATGGCTAAAAGAAAGAGAGGAAAAATGTAAATATTCTGAAAAACTGAAAAGATATGTACACATCTGTTTTAAATGATTGTCTCCCCAAAACCTACCATCAATGATTTCTTCTTTTACTTTCTGCAATTCCCGCACAACCTCCTCCAAGATCTCCTTTTGAACACAACAGATTTTATACTAGTTAGCAGACCAGTCCGTCCTCATTTTTTTGCACAATAGTAATACATTTTGAATGATAGTCTGAACTAACCTGTTTCATTCTGTCAAAGTCAAAAGACTCAGTATCACTGGTGCTTCCGATTGATTTTGCCCTGTAAAATATTCATCACAAATATTTAAATACAATTTGAATGATCAAAACTTTACCTGCAAGTCACGTTTGCTGTAAAAAATTAAATCTAGATGTATTAAATATTACCATGGCTTTCTGATGTAATCTCAGTTTTTATAAAGGGTTAATTTTCAGAGTTCAACGACGACATTTTCTGTGTGTTTACACAAACACTCAATGCAAGCTTACAAAACATAAAACCGACATTTTGCAGTTGTCATGAGTAGAATCAGCATTTGCATTTAGGTCATTGCAAGCTCATGATGCCCTTTGCTTTACTTCCTTAACATGACCATTTGTATTGACAACCGAGGCATTTACTCGCGTATGCAAACCCTAAGCTTGACAAAATCATTCATTTCCCTGTTCTGGTGCAATCCGTTGTGGAATGCCTCCACATTTTAAAAGGAACCGAATGTTGTAAAATGACAAGAAACATTACAAGTCAGGAGATAAAGAACTCACAGTGAAAAATGTAATGTTTACTGCACCATAAACCTGTTAAAACATACCTTGTCACAGCTGAAGACTTGTCTGCAGAGTTTGCCCGTTCCCATGGCTTCTTCACAGGATCTAAGAAGAACATTTAAATAATGGATGATTCTTCTGCTCACCAAACCTCAATAGCCTCATAATTTACCATAAAACCTTTTTCATTAAATTAATATATTTAAATGTTAAAAAATTGTCTTTACAATTTTCTCTTTACAAATAAATGCGGGCAAGTAAGGTTTTGAAAGAAATGAATACTTTTATTCAGCAAAAATTCATTAAATTGATCAAAAGTGACAGTATAGACCTTTACACTGTTACAACAGATTCCCATTTCAAATAAATACAGGGATTTAAAATGTTCTATTCTGAAAAAAAAAAAAAAAAGTTTTCACAAAATATGCTGCTGCACCCTGTTTTCAAACTTGATATTGATAAAAAAAAAAATTTGAGGACCACATCAGCATATTACCATGATTTCTGAAGAATCATGTGACACTGAAGACTGGAGTAATGATGCTGAAAATTTAGTAAATTACACTATGAAATATATTAACTCTTTCCCCGCCATTGACGGAAAAAATTCCGGCTTTCTGTGTTTTCACTGTTATATGCGCTATGACATCTTCTGTAAGAATACAGAATCTTCTGGTCAAAACACAGGCAAAGAAGCAGCAGAAACAAACTATATCATATGTAAGCATATGTAAAGAACGCGATCACCAACATTTAACAGTATATAAATAAAAACTGTTTTTTGCTCAAAATGTTGATTTTTAATGAAACACCCATATTGAAATGTTGATAAAAAAGTAATGCATAAAGCTAGAATAATTTTTTTTTTTAAGCAGAGGGTCTGTTCTTTCTTTTGACATATTGCATGGTCAGATATATTCATACAACAAAATATTCTGGGGGCCATGACATTTTTGATAAAAAATACTGGCGGTGGCTGGCAACTTTTTTCAAAAATTAGAAATGTAATTTTAAATTGTAATATTTCAAAATATCACTGTTTTTATTGTATCTTTGATTACAAAAAAAGCCGCATTGGTGGCATAAGATATCTTTTAAAAACAAAAAAAATCTTACTGATCACAAACTTTTGAACGCTATTACTAAATTAACACAATTTTTTTTTTTTTTTTTTTAAATAAAAGAGACACCACCTGAATTTTGTCCACGGGAGGAAGGCGATCCATTAGACTCCTCCTGCAAGAAAGAGATATCAGTCTGATGTGATGTAAGAATAATCACAGAATAATAATATAATATAATCAAACATTAAGAATTATACAATCAGTGTGTGTTTAAATAAATAGTGTACAAAAATCATACATTTTGACTTTCTTCTGGTTTCTCGGAGGCCTTCCTCCTACAGAATGACCACATTTAACAATCAAAGTTTGCATAACCACAAGTCATGGATCATTAGTTATGAAAAAGAGACAGGAAATGGATGTGGTCTGACCTCCGTGCTAAAAGAGCATTCATCTCCTGCATGAGACCCTCTCCACCTCCTCCACTGCCCCCACTGGAGCGATTGGCATCGTTCTTGCAACTGTTGTCCTCCGGCTACAGAAGATAAAACATGGAATAATCGGGCACCAAGATACCCTTATCACACTTATTGCATAAAAAAAGAAATATGTGAAACATGTTGAGGTCTGGGAGAGTTTGGGAAAGATATGTGCCACGCACCCGCTGAACTTTACGCAGCTTGGCACCAGCTATAGCTGCAGCCAGGCCTGCCGGAGCAGGACCTCCACCAGCCGGCAGTGGAGGTGGGCTAGGAGGGGGTCCTGTGGCGGGTGGGGGCGGCCCGGGTGGGGGAGGCCCAGGAGGGGGCGGAGGGGCCGGTGGACCCGCCATGGATGCTGAGGTAGGGGGGTGAATGGGAGGAGTGGATAAGACCATGGAGGGATGTCCTGGTGGGACAGGAGGACCTGTTGGAAGAAAGGAAAGAATCACTGTTGTATTCTAGACTGAGTGTTTAATTGCATATTCATTGCAATAAAATAGACAGCAATGGTGAACATTTGTGTTGACTTAAAGGTGAAGTGTTTACATTGTGCATCACTAGCATTTGCAAACAGGTTTCTGGTTCTCCTCATCTGGTATAGGTCAGAAACACAGATAGCCCCTCCCCAAACTCACACCATTAGCTGAGTCACTGTGTCGGCGGACGCTCCGACAAACACTGCAAATGTTTTGATAGCAGCACAGTGTTTACAGTTTTTGGGGAAATATACCTACATATGGACTCAGCAGTAAGAATTTTTTTTTCTTTCTGCTGGCTTAGTCGGGCTGGTACTTTCAATTTATTACTCAGGCCAGTACATGCAAAACAATGACACATTTTTATTTTTAGCTACAAACATTTCTCATTAAATTATGTGTTTCTTAAACATACACTACTGTTCAAAAGTGAGGCGTCATTAAGATTGTTGTTGAAAGAAATGAATACCTTTATTCAGCAAGGATGCTTTAAGTTCTTTTGAACTTTCTATTAATAAAAGAATCTTGGATTTGTCATAAGAAAATTACAGTTTCCACAGAAATACTAACCAGCACAACTGTTTTCAACATTGATAATAATAAGAAATATTTCTTTAGCATCAAAACAGCATATTAGAATCATTTCTGAAGGATCATGTGACACTGAAGACTGGAGTAATAGCTTCTGAAAATTCAGCTTTGCATCAGAGGAATAAATTACATTTTAAAATATATAAAATTCTTAATATTTCACAATATTACTTTATGTAACTGTGTTTT